CGCTGCTGACCACGCGCGTGCTCGATCGCCAACTAATCCCACCGAGACTACGCGGACGCGCACGACCCTCGTTCTCGTTTCGCCGTCGGCTAGCATTGCCAGCAATCAGCAACGAGATGCCAGTATTCAATATAATCGCTCGAAGGTGTAAGGTGAGTTTGAGTATGCTCCTTTGGCTGTCATCGTGTCTCCGCGTCGAGTCGAAACTCGAAGATTCCTTCGAACGAGTCGAACGAACGCGCAACCGGCGATCCAAACAACGAAACTCGTTCATCGTTTCGGTCAACGGACAAAGATCTTTGGAATCTTGTACCACGGAACTTTCTTATCTCGTCCTTCGCCTTTCGAACGCGACGCGATTATCGAGCGATTCGCCACCGAGTTACGAGCTGGCTTTTACCTACGAACGCGATAAGCGAACGCGCTTAGCGTCGGACCGGATGCGCGAGCGGACACGATGCTCGTTGCTTATCGGACGATTTAGGTAGCCGTGTAATCGCGTCCGATCACGAATCACGAATTACGAAGACGTCGCGAGGCCATGCGATTTCTCCGCTCTACAAATTACGATTCGCCGATCGGCAATCGGCGCACGTAAATCGCCGTTGGAATCATCGCGATCATCGTCGCGATAACCGTAACCGTAAAAAAGCGAAATTTTCAACGTTTAGGAGATTGCACCGATAGTCCGTTATCTCGGTAATCACCGACGCGGAAACAGCTTCTCCATCATTTTCGACAGTATTCGTATTAGCCAGCTACTATTTTATCCGCGATCGAACGAACCAGATTACGTTCACTCGGCATCGGCCGGCTAATCCGATATTCTCGCGACGGACTCTTGTCTCGATGAAACGAACGTTAATTCCCAAACGGTTCCTCCTGTTTCCGCTTACCGCGTTACCGAAATACGAGCTAGGGAAACGAAACGTCGATCGATCGCCAGGCCGGCGAATAAGCCGATCATCGGAATAAGTTCCCCGATGCCCGGCTAATCGATCCAGCCTCTGGATTCCCTCCGGTGCCCGCTCGTTCGCTTTCTTCCGTTAGTCTTCGATTTTCTCGGGCCTGTTTCTTCCGTTTAGCCGCATGTTCGCGACGCGTCGTTGTCCGAATCACGGATCGCCACCGACGCGGCTTCCTCCACGGACAGACGTCGCGTCGGTTATTACTGTTACGTAATATTTACGTAACTTACACGTCCGCAACACGTATATCCATAAGCGCTGTGTTGCGCTGCATAAACACTCGCGAGTCGAAGCGCTAATGCGCGATCTCACCTTGTTTTCTTCCGATCGCGATCGTTTCGCTTCTCTCGCCTTGCTTCTCGTTCCTCGTCTTTTTCGATCGTTCGCCGTCCGCCGTTCGCCGTTCGCCGTTCGCGATATCCATTCCCCTTCCCAGAAATCTACGAGGTCGAGTCGACGAACGGAAGGAAAAGAATCGATCGAACGTATCGAGCAAGAGAGACGCGCGATCGCGACGAGATCGAAATATACCAATCGTTCTTTTCCTCCTCGCTTTACTGCGAAAAATGCTAATCGCTGCGAATCGGTACTATTGCAGGCGGAGGATCTATTGGACGACATCTTATCTTTCGAAGCTGGATCCTTGGGCGATAACCTAAAGGACGGCCAAACCGGAAATCTGACCAACGTTCCGGAGCTCCAAATCAAGCCAGAACCTTTGTTGCTTACCGAAGCCGAAATCCATGCCCTTGCCAAGGACCGGCAAAAAAAGGACAATCATAATATGAGTAAGTCCACGTACGAGTATACGTATTCGCCTAGCCGTCTTACATTCGAGTAAATGAAAAACTGTCCGAGATATATCGATGTCTCGTATTTCGTTAATTCGCGATTCTATTTTTCAGTCGAGAGGCGACGTCGATTCAACATCAACGACAGAATCAAAGAACTTGGTACCCTGTTGCCCAAAACCAACGATCCGTGAGTAATCCTCGATTCATCTCGATTCGTCTCGTTTCGAACGATCGTCGAATATTAGAAAATCGGTTCGTTCGATGAAAATTTTCCAGCTCACCGAGTTGGTTAGGTGTAGAACCCGAACGAAACTCGGTTACGTTAATTTGGCTAGTAAGTTTCTCTCTTCGAAATTATTCGATCCCGAGATCGCGAGATCTCGTTGCATAACGTTCGCGAAAAAGGAGCAAGGAGACGCGTTTTTTCGTATCGTTCGAGTGACAGCGAACAAACGAGACGAGAGTCGTCCGAGATACCGTCTCACCGATAACGAAACGAATCTCGGTCTAACGACAAAGGCAAACACGACGCGACACGTCGAGCCGCGAACGTAGTGGTCGTACCACGAATCTTTCCCTTACCGTTCGTCAGCGAGTATTTTTTTTCGACATTCGAAAGCGGACGACTGTACTTGAAAGCGTTCGGCTTTTATCAACGCGATTCGAATCGTCTCGTGACCGCTTCCGTGTTTGCTCGGAAAAGTTAGTCGAGAAAGTAAAACTTTGGTCGCGAGACTAAAACGAGTAACGTCGATTCGTTGCAGGTATTACGAAATTGTTCGAGACGTCAGACCGAACAAAGGCACCATCCTCAAGTCGTCCGTCGAATACATCAAGCTATTGAAGAACGAGTTGACCAGGATGAAACAAAACGAGCTCAGGCACAAGCAGTTGGAGCATCAAAATCGGCGACTCTTGTTACGAGTTCAGGAACTAGAGTTGCAAGCGAAGGCTCACGGACTGCCGGTTTCTGATTTTAACTGGGCTTCGTGTTCCAGCGGCGTGCCGAATGCCTTCCCCAGAAACAAACTCGAACAACGCAAGGTGCGGTAACGCGGCTATACGCTCGGACGCTTTTCCCAAACTCCTTTTCGCCGTCCCTCGTCTCTCTCTGTTCGCGAAACGATCGCGATCGGTTCGCGGTATAGCGCGCGACCGTGTCCGACATCGGTGGCGTTTAACGTTTTCAAGGTTACCCCGATACACGGCCACGTCGTGCTTCGGCACGTTACGCCGCGTCGCGTCGATCGTTTCGCGATCCTTGATCCGAATAAACGTTCGTTTCGTTCTCGGGACTGGTTTCATAATCCGCATCTGTTCTTTCGAGACAACCAGCTACGAAATCGTTCGTTTATTCCTCCTTGTGCGCGCGCGCCCTCTCTCTCTTTTTCTTTCTTTACCTCTATCTCTCTCTATCTATCTATCTCTGTCTATCTCGCTACCTTCTATCTCTGTCTATCTATCCACTTCTGTTGTCCCATGTCCTCCCCACTCGTATCGAGCGACGTTCCCGCTACCGCTTCCTTTTCCATCACCCGCGCCTGATGCTCTATCTTCCTTCTCTCCTGTCCCCTACCCGCTCATCGACGCGTACATAGCTTGCCCCTCTCTCTTTATCGCCGTTAGATCGTTCGTTCCCGCGGTGTATTTCCTTCTCGCTCTGTTTCTCGTTTGCTCGTCTTCCATCCTTAAGGAATACGCGAGTACGCGTATCGGATAGACCGGGCTGCTATCGCACGGAATTAAGTAGGCGATCGAGAACGACCGTACGGAAATTTTTCAACGCCGCGTAGCTCGCGTTAATCTCGATTTCAACATTTTATGGCTGGGATAAGTTCTAGTTTCGTAGAGCTTGTATATCGCGTCGTGTACCGAATACCTACACAATTACGTACATTAGACTTGCGTAGAGATATTGCCGTTCCCATTTCTCCTTCTCTTTTCTTTACTTTCCCGTCCTTAGTCCACGCTAACGCGCCAACATCGTGCTAGTAGATCGAATCGTAACGAAACGCGGTTTGATCGACAGATACCGGAGTTAGTGGCGGAAGAGGGACCGAGCTTGAGCATATCGCAGTTCGAAGATCTGATGGAGGACGACGCGAGTGGACCGATCCACAGTCGCGATCCGATGCTCTCTTCGCCGCATCTTCCACCTCTGAGCCCAGCACCGACCGGATGTCAACACGGTCTACCGGACGAAGATACTCTCGGTAGCTTGGCATCTACCACGCCAAACTCTTCCTCCGACATGGATATTGTCGCGTAGCAGACGTTCAACGACGACAGGATCTGTTCGTCCCCTAGTATTTCGAATGCGAGTGCGAGTGGAAGCGTGAGTGCGAGTGTAAATGCGAGCGCGAGCGCGAGCGTGAGCACGTTTCGATGTTATCGCGGCGAGCTAGTATCGCGCGATAATCGGATAAACGGCGACCCGTCTTATTCTTGTACCGTCGTTCAACGGCTGGCCGTTAAGCGCGCGATCGTGTACGGAATTCGGTGCTGTACGGTGTCGCCTTCCGGAAATCGCTGCCTCGACAACGTTTTCCTCTATCGCGTTCGGTTATGGAATTTCGTTCGCTCGTTTCCCCGTTCGTTACCATCGGGAAGCTAACGAAAATAATTCCAGATACTCTCGCGTTCGTCGCTCTGGTTCTTCGAAGAACGGAACGGATGCGGCCGTTTCGTGCGTTAAACGAAATTTGTGCGTCAGGCGAGGGCACTCGCGCGGGACGCGAGCATTTCTGCGCACGACACGACACGGCACGAAACGAAACGGAATCGAATCGATCCAATGGTACTTTTTTTTCGACTCGACGAAACGAGGACACGACGAACGCTTCTCGAATACGCCGCGTAGCTCGCGTTAATCTCGATTTCAACATTTTATGGCTGGGATAAGTTCTAGTTTCGTAGAGCTTGTATATCGCGTCGTGTACCGAATACCTACACAATTACGTACATTAGACTTGCGTAGAGATATTGCCGTTCCCATTTCTCCTTCTCTTTTCTTTACTTTCCCGTCCTTAGTCCACGCTAACGCGCCAACATCGTGCTAGTAGATCGAATCGTAACGAAACGCGGTTTGATCGACAGATACCGGAGTTAGTGGCGGAAGAGGGACCGAGCTTGAGCATATCGCAGTTCGAAGATCTGATGGAGGACGACGCGAGTGGACCGATCCACAGTCGCGATCCGATGCTCTCTTCGCCGCATCTTCCACCTCTGAGCCCAGCACCGACCGGATGTCAACACGGTCTACCGGACGAAGATACTCTCGGTAGCTTGGCATCTACCACGCCAAACTCTTCCTCCGACATGGATATTGTCGCGTAGCAGACGTTCAACGACGACAGGATCTGTTCGTCCCCTAGTATTTCGAATGCGAGTGCGAGTGGAAGCGTGAGTGCGAGTGTAAATGCGAGCGCGAGCGCGAGCGTGAGCACGTTTCGATGTTATCGCGGCGAGCTAGTATCGCGCGATAATCGGATAAACGGCGACCCGTCTTATTCTTGTACCGTCGTTCAACGGCTGGCCGTTAAGCGCGCGATCGTGTACGGAATTCGGTGCTGTACGGTGTCGCCTTCCGGAAATCGCTGCCTCGACAACGTTTTCCTCTATCGCGTTCGGTTATGGAATTTCGTTCGCTCGTTTCCCCGTTCGTTACCATCGGGAAGCTAACGAAAATAATTCCAGATACTCTCGCGTTCGTCGCTCTGGTTCTTCGAAGAACGGAACGGATGCGGCCGTTTCGTGCGTTAAACGAAATTTGTGCGTCAGGCGAGGGCACTCGCGCGGGACGCGAGCATTTCTGCGCACGACACGACACGGCACGAAACGAAACGGAATCGAATCGATCCAATGGTACTTTTTTTTCGACTCGACGAAACGAGGACACGACGAACGCTTCTCGAATTTCTTTCGACTCGGTGAAATTGTGTGAATCCGATAGGCGCGAACGCGTCGAGTCGCTCGAAATCGGCGCAGCGGTAGAAACATGCTCGATCTTCGTCGTTCGAAAGCGCTCGATTCTATCACGAACGAGGTCAACGTCGAAAGTAGTTCGTTTCGCAACGTTTCAACCTAGACACCGTCGCTTTCGATAAACCTTCGTTCGTTCGTCCGTCAGCGACCGTCAGAGGACCCGTAGAACAACGCGCGACTCGACCGATTCTTTTCGTTCCTTTCGTTCACGGTTACGCTCATTCTCCGTTACGCTTTGTTCGCGCCCATTCTCGTCGCCTTACGCTCTCGTAAGTGCCGCGGCATTTACGTTTTCCATTCGTAAAGAATGGACAAGAATTGGAACGGCGACGACAGCGACAACGAAAGCGAGATCAGGGACAAGGTATAGAGTACAGATGCAGTAATTGGTCGATTTCGGTCGGAAACTTTCGGTCGCGCATCGTTTCGGAAGATACGCGAGCACGAGCGCGTCGAACAAAAATCAAACGACGGGATGGAAAGAAAGACGGACCAGCAGGGAACGAACGAAGCATCGAAGGCGGACAGTGAACGACGGCACGATTTTTTCGAAGATTCGATCGTAAATTTATTTCGGAACGATCCCGTTCTCGTATTTTTTCTTTTTCTGCGTACAATTCATAGTATATGTATAGATACTTCGGAAACAACTTCGAAAGGAGCGATCTATGCATCGCGACGTTTATCGTCGCTGCGAACACGCGTAATCCGTAATCCGTAATCGTATATAAACATCCATACGGTCGTCGCGCTTTACCTGGTTTGTGCGCGCGTATTATTCGATCATCGTTATCCACGGAATCCGCGCGAGAATCTTGCGATACACGTTTCTCCGCGGTGCCCGCGAGAAACTGCAGAGTATATATAAAGAAACGTTACGAAAAAAATCATTGTGCTTTCCTTTCCTCGTCCGAAAACTCTTTACCCGACACCTTTTTTCTCCTCCCGTTCGATCTCGCCTTGCCACGTTTCGTTTTCTTCGACCACACGAAGCACAGTCTTTTCGCGCAGCGATATTCGTGTTGTCGAGACGATGCGAGAGAAGTTCAAGGGAACGAAAAGAGCACGGATAGCGAGAGAAGAATAAATGGACACTGGTCGAGAAGAAAAAGACGCGAAAAGGAACTGTTTGGAATGATCGGCAGCTATCAGTACCGAATTTTCACCGCCACCCTCTCCGTTCAACGGACAATTTCACCAAGTACGACGTCGCACTTGTTCTTTGTCTATTTATTTCTCTATTTATCATCGTGATTGCGGTCGTCACTGTTATCACTACCGCACCGTCACCGCCGACACGTATGCTACCCTCTTCGCGATCCTTTCTTCACTCTCGTATCTCGATGTACGAAGATCCTGGGAACGGAGGAGTCGCTGCCAATGTCCCTTCTTTGTCGCGTACGACAACAGCGTGGTTCAGTTCGAGCAGCAGTTACTTCGAGATTGATGGGAACCCTTTACGCTCTTTCTTATTCGTTGAAATTTTTCTTTCCTCCAAGTTATTCGGTTGTACGTTTTCCTTTCACGCGAATTTTCATCTTTTCCTCTTGTTACGTTCGCATAGCGTATAAGAGTAACCGGCGGACACGCCCACCCGTAAGAACTGTTCATCTTAAGGAAGTCGCATCGCCCACGTATCTTTCGAATGTTTAGCCGATTTACTCGTTACGCGATCATCGTATCCAACGGTGTATATCGTAAGCCTCTTCCTCTCTCGCTCGTTTCATCCGTCTACTTCCGTTCCATTACCTACCGTATCGTCCTACCGCGCCCTGATCGGAACAGACTTCGGTATGCCAGGACTCGTCGCGGCGCACGGTTATGCGACGCCGCAGCGCGGCGCACCGCGGCACCGTTAGACACGCGTGGCTATCAACGTACGGCGCAGCCCTCTCTGCGTTCTTTGCCCGACCGCTTGAACGTCAGTTTCGAAACAGGGTGGGCGCTACTAACGCGCTACCGTTACCGACTTTTGTTTTCGTTTACGTGCTCGGTTACGCCTCGTGATCTTCCTCTTTCCTTTTCCTATTCCTCCTTCTTCTTTAACTTCCCCTGTTTTTCTTCGTGCTACCGGACTCGTCTTCGACCGATACGACGAAACGCGTTACTCTGCTGTTTTTTCCTTTGGTTGTTCGTGCGACCATTTATTAGGGCGAAAGTACAATAGACGAGAAATAAGAATAAAGAAGAACAGAAGGGAAGGTAGCAAAGAAGGACGGAAGGAAGAAGGAAAAGCATCGAGCGAGCAGAAGAGAAGCAAGATTAAAAGACTGCGGTATGGGTGTGCCGTTCGTCGAAACACCGGATAATGTTAGAGGAAATAATGTTCGAGATGTTTGGCTTCGTTCATCGAGTCGATTCGAGGATCGATGCCGTACGAGATTGTTCGTCCCTGAGAGATCGATCGGATCGCGAACAAGCGGAGCTTCCGTGTCCGTTCCTAGTGTCTTTTCGCGAACGCGCTCCATGCTCTGCATTTTGCTCGCGACTCGCCTAACCGGGGTATTCGCAACCTTCGACAGAAGTAAGTATCTTATCCTCGCTTCATTTTCGAAACCCCTAAAAGAGGCAAGGGTACGTGGCTAGAGCGAATAATAAAAAGGAAAACGCGAACGGAATACGAAACGAAGGCAATGGAGGGAAGCATTGTTCGAGAGTAACGTCGGAAACGAATGGTAAACAGGACGGAACCTCTTGGTGGAAATCCGCGTGGTAGAAGAGAGAAGAGCGTGGTAGGGCCACTTGGACGGATGCTAATGGTTTACAAAGACAACACCGATGACAACGTTAACGAGGAAACGGTTCTTTTTCCTGTTTTTTCGCGATAGAGCGACAGCGAAAAATCTACCTGCCAGATGGCTACTGCTAAACGTTAACCACTCTAACCGTTAAATCGTTACTCTTTTCGTACTCGCTGTCGTTGTTTGTTTCGCGTTCGCTTTCGTTCGCGGCGATTTCAACAATCTGTGTATTCCGTGACGACGTACTCAGAGTAGGCAGAGAACGAGAAGTTAATTGGCAACGCGATGCTCTTCGAGCTTAGGTCGTTTCGAAAAGTACGCGAGGCGTTTCGGCACAATACGCCACTGGCAACCTTTCTCGAAACGATAGCTTCGCGATAAAGCGACTACGCGCTGGCATCGAATCAAATTAAGCCCCATACCATACGCTGTGAAATTTTCTCGTCCGCTACAGTACACCTTCGCGGATTCGTGCACTCTACGTTCGATGCCGCGGTATATCGCTTAACGTTTTCGAGACCGATTAGTTAGCTCCCGAAAGTCGGACCGTATTGGCTCCGTACCAAACGATCCGCGATTCAATTAAACCGCAACGAGTTAAAGGAAGCAAAAGAAAACGAATTGGACCGTAAGGAAGCGATCGTTGACCGCGATGTCGTATCGAAATTCCACCTAATAACTTTCATTGGCGTTTCGATATACATACGTAGTCGAGGAAAATAAACAATTTCCAAGTATCTAATCATCGACGTATTACAGACATTTTTAGTACAGAAACTAATATTTTCTCGTAAACGCTGCGCGAATAAAGTTGAAATCGGATTAACGAGAAGAATTTTGTTTTTTCAGCCGGTGGTATAAAAGTCGAGATGAAAGTACCGAACGAGGCGAAAATCGGATCGTCGATCGAGCTCGAATGCGTATGGCAAATTCACGGACCAAGCGGACTTTATTCGGTGAAATGGTACAAGGACGATCACGAATTCTTTCGATACGTACCGGACAATGATCCCAGGATACAAACGTTCTCGCAACCCGGTATAAACGTCGATGTAAGCGTCGATTCGACTCTCTTTCTACTCTCCTTTATCGTCGTCATTCGGTCCTGTTAGTATGCAATTTTTATTCGTACATCGTTACGTTTACAGAACAGATGGAACACCGAAAACTCGATCAGACTGAAAGAGCTGGAAACGAAGAGTTCTGGCCAATATAAATGCGAGGTGTCTACGGAGGCGCCGTCGTTCGCCACCGTCTATCGAACGGCTAATTTGACCGTGATCGGTAAGCGCATCGAAAATTCTTCCTATTCTTTCATCTTCTTACCTCGATGATCGTTCGCGCGCTATCTGTGCCTACCACGCGATAAGCGTTATCTAATTTCGATACAATGCGATACGATACGGTAGAAGGTGAGACGAACCAAGAATCTATATTACTGTTCCGTTTCTATTCGTCGACCGACGTATTTCTCGCGAAAATATGCTAAAAGCGCGTAATTTCAGCGATGCCCGAAAGAGGTCCAGAAATTACAGGCTTATCTCCGCGTTATACGATCGGAGACGATCTCACGGCGAACTGTACCGTCTGGCCGTCCGTCCCAACGGCTGCTATTCGTTGGCTAATCAACGAAAAACCGGTAAAATATTGTCTACGTTCTATTCGGCTCGTTCGCAGCGAACGGTCAACATCGAGATTCGAGTTAAAAATGATTTTTATCGGTCGTAGATCGCCGCGAAGCAAACGATCCAATATTCGACAATGGAAATCAGGAAGAAGAAGGAAAGAGAGCAGAGGAATGAGGAAACGTCGACTTCCGCGACGACACCGAACGCTCTGGGATTACGAGTGAAACTGGAGCCGTTGCACTTTGAAGGAGTACGCGAAAAGTCGGTGATCGCGATAAAATGCGTCGCGCGAGTCGGCTCGTATCTGCTCGCGACGGAAAAACGCGTCTCGATGAACTACGCAAACAAGCAACGATTGAGCGCCGATAACGCTCGCAGCGAAGCTCACGGATGGCATCGTGTCCGCCCCACCGAACGTTTTTCGCTTCTGTTAATCTGCTATTTTTGTTCTCGTTTGCGAACGAACGACCGAATGGTCGAACAAAACGAGCAAAACTAACATAAAACCAATGGAGTAGCCTTTGAGAGTTGGCGAGCGAACAGAGCGCTTCCGCGCGTAGTCGCCTCGATATCGATTCGTTCGTTCGCGTCTAGCTGTGATATTAAATATAAGGTGTTCCAGGTCCGTCTATGCGAATTTCACCGGACCCGAACCATTCGCTCGTTAATTAGTTTTTCGCGTTTTTCTCCGTTAGATACGTTAGATACGTTAGACACGTTACATAGGAGAGGGATCGGTATCGGTACCGGGCGAATCTATCGATACAGGTAATCGAATAACGACGAATAAACGAACAAGCATGTACTCTGGGACCGATTCACCCGACGAACGATCGATACCAAGTGTCTACGAGCACCGAGAATTATAACTTTTCCCACTCGCTTTTCCCTTTCCTCGTAACCGCGAGAAATTATTAACTCAACCTTTTTGCAATAACATCGAAACAGATAATAATCTGTCACGGAATCTTGCGGTAGAATATAAGCGAATAAAATTGATTAGAATAGACGCCTACCGCCAAGTGAATCCGAATGGATTACATTTCCCGTGATTTTGCCGATGCACCGTTAAATCGTTTCGATTCGAAAAAACGAGATAGCAGGTAGCTCCTCGAAAGAACGATAAGAATGTGCGGCTAAACGCACGATACGATCTTATTATTATTTGTACAAGATCGTTTCGAGATAAATCATTTTGATAGATCGTACTGTTGCGCGAATGTGTCGAAATTCCGGCTCGAGTTTACGGCTTCTTACGCGGAAAATAAAAGAAATTAAGCGACCAAGTTCTTTAACGAATTTCTCGTTGAAAAACGAGATCCTATTCCGAGCGAGACGATACGTACCGATCTATAGTTCCTCCGATATTTCCTACTTTATCAAACATCGGCAATAACCATCGAACGCGCGAGCGGCGGAGATACGAAGAACCTTTACGCGAGTAAGGTAAGCGGTGTCGCTTTCGTTCGAACAACGAAATTACTACATATTTGGACGAAGAACGGCTCTGGAGGCGTAGACTAAATATACGGCTTCGGCGTATCGTTATTCGTGGCAACCAGCTGGAAATCGCGGTGCACGTTGCGCAACACCGTTCGTTAATAAAACCGTGAGAGAAGGAGAAAAAAAAAGTTACGCACGAAAAGAAAGAAAAATACAGAAAAGCAGGGGCATGGAAGTATCGCGTGCATTAAATCGGCTGGAGACGACGCGACGCGATTCGAGACGAGATGGAAAGAGCGATTATCAGGCAGAGATCACGGTATCGCGTCGGTTTTGACTGATCATTAACGACGATCACGCATCGGAGGACAGGCAACAGTTTCGCGAGTTAATTGCCTATGAAACGCTAAAAATAAGAAAGTAAGAGAGACACTCTGCACGTGCACAGATCGTGGAACGTGGAACGCGGAACGTGAAACGGCGGGAATCGAGAACGTGCGCTCATCGATATCTCGACCAACCCAGAGACAGTCTGTTGTTTCACCTCTCGAGGCTCGAGGTCGTTTCGAACACGCTATTGGTCGACGGCGTCGCTATCCTCTCCGCGTCGCATCGCGTCACGTCGCGTCGCGCCGCGTCATCGTGACTTTGCTCCGTTTCCGACGCGCCGATAGGTGTTTGCGCGGGATTACCCTCGAACGCATCGAACGCGTGTTCGTTTCAATTTCATCCGGCTATAGAGCCTCACGCTATACATATATCTACGATAGTTTCGATCCTTATCGCGATCGATCGTGAAGAGAATCGAAGAAAAAAAAAAGTTGCGACCGCAGCCTAGACGCGAACAACGCTGCTGCGGTTCGATTTTTTCGCGCAATGATCGCCGCTTTTGCGCGTTCGCGTTCGAAAAATTGTAATCGCGATCGAACACGGGACAGAGAAGAGACGAAAATAAAAAACGAGGGGAGAAAGGGGAGGGTCCGAGAAGAGAAGGTAGAATCGACTCGGAGAGACAGGGGTTTACTCGTAAAGAGAAGGAAGAATTGGCGGCTCGCAAGACGCTTCGAGAGTCGCGTTCGGATTAATCCGTCGCGGACATAAGACGTAATGGTACCGAGCTGCTCAATTACGCTCGGATTAACGGTGCACGAGGGGTTCCCCTTCCCCCGGACCACTTATCTCCTCGAGAATCCATACTCTCAGTGTCCCTTGCACGCTCTCCACCTCGTGCGCGATCTACCAGGGCCTTTGAAACGCTATATAAAGTGACAAACTTGCACGGTGACACTGTATCGGCGTTAATACGGCACCTCGATCCAGTCCGGTTGGGTAATCACTGCCGGATTTTTTATCGGACCGAAAAACGATACGTTACGATAGGATCGTTCGAGCGGCGATCGCGATCGATCTCCGCGTTCCCGGTTTCGCAGCGACGCGCCGCGCTGCCAGCATTTTCTCGTTCGCGCGCACCAGTTTCTTCGCTCGTTCGTGCTCGCGTATCGAGATCGAACGCCTACTCTTTTTCTCCTTTTCCGCTCTTGCTCCGTATTTTCACGTGCGCGCTCGTACACGCGCGCACGTGCACGCTTCCTCCCGCTTCGTCTCGACGCGGCTCGCGCGCCGTTTCCTTCCGTTCGGCCGTGAACGGTCCCGGTATCCGAGTTCCGAAATCGCATGATTTTCTACGGCCGGAAGAAGACTCTTCTCCCGTCCACGTACCGTGCACCCACTCGTCTGTCAACTAGGGTAGGTAATTTTCACCAGTTTCTTCTTCTTCTTCTTCTTCTTCTTCTTCTTCTTCTTCTTCTTTTTCTTCTTCTTCTTCTCCTTCTTGTTAGGCTCTTAGAGTACGCGTCGCGAATTCGTCGCTGATCTAACCTCGTTCGAGCGTGTCCGAGACGGTTCGCGAGGCGCGTAGTACGCACCGTCTACTGACCCGAATACGCTCGAGGTCCCTCGTTCGCGTTCCTCCTGCTTACCGTTTTCGTTTCTCGTTTCTCGTTTCTCGTTTCTCGTTTCAAGTTTCTCGTTTCCCTCGTCGCCGTACCATTTTTATCAGCTACGAATCGCTGCGCGAACGCGGACGACGCACCATCGATCGAGAACGCTACTTGTCCCTCGCTCGGAAGAGCGCTTCCGATTCTTCGTTCGCCGCCCATTATCCAATCGACGAACGCGCGAATCAAAGAAAATCTAAATTGTATCCGACGAATCCAGCCACAATCAGCTTATAATAGCCAAGACCGTCCGCTCAGAGTACGCGCGTGTGCGAATTAGCACGCAAGAATTTTCGGCGGTCGACGATGATATTTAACGAGTTGTCTCGAAACGGTGGCAACGCTCGCGAAAAATTGTCCGAATTTCCTCGAGGTCGTCGAACGGCGATCTTTCGAATTTCCCGAATTTCCCGAATTTCCCGCATTTCCCGCGAAAGTTAGCGGATGCCTTTGAAATTTCAGTTTCGCTGTCGCGCGTCTCGCGTTTCGTCGTACCGCGTCACGTGCTCGCAATCGACCGCTATCTCTCGTTACGTCGTTACGCGCTGCCGACATTCGACCAACGAACGTTCTCGCTTCCCTTTTACCGGTTCCCCTGATCATTCGATCAGCCGATCCCGCCTAGACCACCCTTTCAACCGCTTCCGTTCTTCCAACGATCACGGCTCGCGGCCTCACTCGCGCTTCTATCTACTCGCCAGCGAAAGACGATTCCTCGAACGCGAATGCCACCTTACTAACTCGATCCGTATCTCGTGTCTAACTTGTTGTAGCTCTCGGCTCTGTCCCGTCCCCCTGCGATCAACATGAAACAACGAACGCTACTGGTTTGCGCTCTACTGCCGCTTTTCGCTCTCTCCGATGCTCTGCCACGGGATTCGAACGATTACGAAGGTTTGTTCGCCGTAGCTTACCGTAGCTTACCAACGAACTTGACCGCTTTCGCGCGGTCGAGCGATTTCGAATATTGCCCAGGAAAATCCAACGCGTCGTCGGGCATCGAGTATCGTTCAGCCAATGCCCGATGGCGGGGTAACGAGTCGGACATCCAATAAGTATCGTAATCTTCTTTAGGGATGTCCTTTTGGCTGAAATCGGGACAAGAGAACCTCCGGAGAAATCTAGCTTACAGGAACAACGAAAATCGTGCGAAGAACATCATCGTATTCATCGGGGATGGCATGGGAATATCGACCATCACCGCCGGTCGTATATTCAAAGGCCAAACGAAGGGCACCACCGGCGAAGAATACAAATTGGCTTTCGAAAAGTTCCCCAACACCGGATTCGCCAAGGTGATACCTAAGCGTCGGAATACGTAATTTCCTCGTAGCTTCGTTTTACGACGCTATCGATCTTCTTCTCTGTTCACAGACCTACAACACCGACAAACAAGTGCCCGATTCCGCCGGAACGGCCACCGCCATATTTTCCGGCGTCAAATGCCGTTACAGAGTACTCGGTTTGGACACCAAAGCGTCCTACAATCATTGCGACCAACAAATCGATCGGGAGAGTAAACTCAGCACGGTCGCGGATTGGGCGCAACAGAGCGGCATGAGTACCGGTGAGCCTTTTTCCGTTTTCCCTTCCTCTCTCCTCCACCTTCGAATCGTTGAAAGAGGAAATTTGGCAAATTACCGAACTAGTTGGTCCGCGTCGGTACGATACCGACTACTTACACCGTGCTCGTTGCGCGCGAGTACGATCAACGTCGCGCTTCGCCACGGTCGGCTGCTACGGACACCGTTAAACGTTAAACGTTCGACGTTTAACGGATCAGTATCGGATGGACCTTGTCGAAACGAGTGTGAAAACGACACGACAGAGAGAGGAGGTCGTCAATCGACCTTCCGCTTTATCTAGGGCGTATCGCGTTACGCGTAACGCGTTAATGCTCGCGACGCGTCGACGCGCCTTCTTTCGGATCCCTGAATCGTTATTCGAATCGTCAAACCGATTCGTCGCGTGGCATTGCATAACGTCGAAACTCGAGCGTGGAAATAGTAGAGCGTTATCGATCGATCTCGCGATTGCAGGATTCGTAACTACCACTCGAATCACGCACGCAACACCGGCCGGATTGTACGCTCACACCAATAATCGTGACTGGGAGTGCGATACCTCGATACCGGAACGATACAAAAATTGCGTCAAGGACATTGCCAGACAGCTTGTCGAGGATGCACCCGGAAAGAAATTTCAGGTACCACGCTATCTTAATCTTTTTCTAACGAAAGATTTCGTTCGCCTCTCCTCCTTTCTCTCCCGTTCGACTCTTCTCGTCGTCACTATAGTCGCGGTCTCGTTATGTCAGGTGATGATGGGTGGTGGAGCGCAACACTTGGGTTTGTCGATAGAACCAGACGATCCCGATACCTGTGTCAGAGGAGACGGACAAAACCTGGCCGAGATATGGGCGAAAAACAATCCCGAAGGAAATCTCGTAACGAACACCGAGCAACTGATGTCGATCGATGTCGCGAACACGAGCAAGATTCTCGGAATATTCGCTGCCAGTCATCTTCCGTATCACGCGGTCAAGCCGGCTCAAGTTCCGAGTCTAGCTAATATGACCACGCAGGCCGTTAGGTTGCTCCGGAAAAACGAAAACGGTTTCTTCTTGATGGTAAGTCGAAACGATCTCCCTCTTCGTCTTCTCTTTATTTTATTCTCGTTCCGTTCTCAGGTCGAGAGTGGGAAAATAGACATCGCCCACCATCACAATTACGCGAAGCTAGCGTTACGAGAAGTGTCGGAACTGGAGGAAGCGGTGTTGGCCGCGTTGCAACAAGTGAATCTGGAAGAAACTCTGATGATCGTAACGGCCGATCATTCGCATTCTTTCACTATGAACGGTTATCCGAAAAGAGGAAACGACATTCTAGGTTTCGCCAACGATCCGACTAACGCGGACATTCGAGCCTACGAAACGCTCAGTTACGCCAACGGTCCAGGCTTTTACCACCACAGACGAAACGACAGCGCGAACGTCAACGAAACGTGGATACCGGTCGATCAGGATCCGACGCGCGACGAACCCTTTTACACGCAAATGGCTGGCATGTATCTCAAGGACGAAACGCACGGTGGCGAAGACGTCGGTGTATACGCGATAGGTACGTTCTTTAATGCGACCCCTCTTAAACTTTATTACCTCTAAATCGGTTTATGTGTTTTAGGTCCGTATTCTCACCTGATTCGCGGTACCTTCGAACAAAACTACATCGCTCACGTGATAGCGTACGCAGCGTGCTTCAAAGACTGGCCTTCCCACTGTGATAACACGTACAATCGTCGTTACTTTTACGAACTAGCCAATTCGGTGGACCGAATCGAGGCGTCGTATTTTCTATCGCTTTTAACGTCCGCGCTTCTTTTCATCGTCGCTAGAAACTAATCGCGCGCCTACGGGATTAGTTCCTTTGAAACGTCCGCGATACACTGTTCGAACGGCGATTCTTTGGCCGGGTATCTGCCATTCGCTCCATCTTCTATTCCCGTCCTTTTTACGACCGTGATAACGTTTCGTCTACGCGTACCCTATCCTTTCCGTTTCCTTTTCACCGTAAATTATTTTTCGCGCAGCCTTTCAAAGCGTGGACCAGCTTTGCCCGTGCGTACACCCGCGTTTGCCGTCCAACGAGTACAGCCGTTCGAACGCGCGCGCCTTCCTTCTACGCGTATAAGCGACTACGTACATACCTGTTGCATACATACACGAACGCGCTGCATGGCAACTGCGCGTTCCGATCGCGCCAACCACGAACACTGGCCAACATAAAATAAAGATCGATTGAACGACGTCTTCGATTTTATTCGCGTAAGCCGCGAAAAATATTCACTCGCAAACGTTCGGCCGCATCGCAGTCTGCGCGTTCGACTTTTTTCGATAGAAACAAGATTCGATCGATCGCTGGTATCTTGTACGCCATAGTAAACGTAACACGTAACGCCGCGCATCTTCGAATCGTTCTATTCTAAATAGAGTTCGACGAGCTGTCCGTTCATCTGTCCCCGTCTGTTTCGAAGCGCGGTGGAACGACAGCGACGCGAATACCTTCGAAATGAAACGACGTGTAATAGAGTAACGATTTTTATTCTCCGATACATGTGATCGACAAGATTTCCGGATACTAATAATTTGCCTTCGGATCGAATGGTTTACGCGGAAGGACTACGTATATTGTAATACTGGCACACACGCGGCAATACGCAAATTACCGAATTATCGAATCACGAGGGAGCCGGTTTTCCTCGAACGATGGAAACGTAATAATTCTTATAAATAAGAGGATTCGAGTGATCGGTAACAAAGTTTCGATCCGGCTTGATCGAAGCAAACGGATTTTGTCGCGGTTCTAAAAGAACCTCGACGTCCGTTATGGACTTTAATCGAGCTATTTCCCAGTGCATCTCGTCCACGGTGTAAGAGGTAATAACAACCGGGGTCGATCGTCCGCAAAATTCTTTGATGGTCTCGAACCAACTATCTTGACCCGCGAATCCAGTTTTCCGATAAAGGCCGGGATTGAAAATGCAAATCAGATCAGCCTCGCCGATGTTCGATTTCGTCCTTGACCCCCAATTTAATTCGTGATAAAGCGTTTCCGGTTGAAATCGAACGATCACGGTTCTACCGGCAGATTTGCACTCCCGACAAAGTTTTACCTTCGATAGAACTTCGGCAGGCACACCGCTCGGTAATTTTAATTCCGGACCGATCAGCGCGACGAGTAGCCTCTTCAGATTCGGTATAAAATGAAGAAACATTTTTTCCCAGACATGCAAGTTAATCCCCTCGAAGTGAAATTCCGCCCCGATCACGTGTATCGTCCAATCGGTTTTGTTCGACCAGTCCGGAGAAGAAATTTGCGTAGCGTAAAGGGCCGTCAACGGAATCGTGCAGACGTGAGACAACACGGAATACGTGTAGCAATCCATCTCGCGGTAATATCGATCGTTTCCGTAGACGCGAACCATCAATTGGTCAAAGTCAAGATCCGCTCGCGCGATTTCGATCGTTCGACGCACGTTCGGGATTCTTGGAATCACCGAACCGTGCTCGTGTTGCAGCAGCAAACATCGTTGCAACGTACGGAACTCTTTACACCATATTTCGTGGCTCGTCGCGTGTTCTTCGCAGTAACATTCCATCCCGCAGTTCGCGCAGCAGACCAGATCCTCGCTAAAACGACGACAACTACGGCAAACCATAGGATACAGTACGATCTCCGTTTCCCAAAGTTTCAACGGTCTACGAATTCTCGACTGAAGTACGCCGAGCAACCGAACTCGGTAAGCGCGATACTGTTCCGGGTCCAGTCGCGCACTCGACCCGTTGGACAGTGTCGTCGCGATCGACCCTCGAATCTCCTTCAAAGCCTCGCACAACTCGCGATGCTCCGCTAGTCCTTTCGATCGATGCGCCTTCGAACAATAAGACACCATTCGACAACCGTCGCAATATATTTGCCGTTTTTCAGAGCAGACCGCGCAAAGACTCGACACGAATACGAATCGTGGCCGGACGCACAGCTCTACGCCCTCCTCCTCCTCCTCCTCCTCCTCCTCTTCTTCCTCTTCATCCTCCGCCGAAGGACGAGTAGGCAGCAAAGGATACGTCAATCGAGCATAAACTCCGATCGGTAAGTTCGCGTTTTCTTCGACCGCTCGCCCCCTTCTTTCTTCTTTCTCCTCGACAATTCCCGATCCCACGCAGCTCTGCTTATCCTTCGATATTTTTGCTCGCGAACGGGACTCTTTGCTTCGAGTCTTCTTCCGACCCATCTCGCTCTCGTCCTGTTTACATTTATTATCGTCAGTAAATCGTACACTTTCGATCCTTCTCTTTTACTTTCTGTCCTCCTTTCTTTAAAAACTTCTCTCCCTCCCAACCCCACTCCCACCATATTTTTCCGTCTCGCGTAATTTTTACGAAACCGTGAGAAATACTTTCAGAAGCAATTTTCGCGAACGAGTTACAGGCGACAATAAACTCGTACGATCAGCGAAGGCGAAGGTAACGGGAAGAAAGGAGAAGAGAGGAGAATAGATACCTATAGGAACAGATATACATATGTAGATGAATCGAAGATGGCCGGACGGAGAAGGTTGAGGATTAAAATATAAATCGTCGATCGGCGAAACGGCCAACAACTTACTTTTATAACTTTATATCGATTCTTGATAAGTATAAGGATTCTTGATGACAGATACGCGTTACGTGATCGATCGTCGATCGATTAAAAAACGAAACGGTACGTGAATGAAAATGACCGAATCGATAAAATAAACGAGCTTGATCGACGCGATAGTACGTCGATGTTTCGAAAAGTTTAGCGATCCGTTGTCGCGAACGAAGCCTCTCTGCGGGCACTATGCCCACTGCCCGGACAAAGGTATTTCAAGCACCGTCTCTCGATTGCACGCCCCTTTATTCCTGGGTTAACACGTCTCTAAATCGACCCGACGCGACGCGCGATCCTCGCCAAACGAAAGCTTATCGGTATTGGCCAACCGCGAACACCAATTTATAACATTCGTTGATTACGTTTTCACTCGCCGTATTATTACTCGGCCAACAATTGCAATTCTACCGATTGAAAAATTCGATTTTTTATATTGCATTCTATCATTTAGCTGCAGACAATCGACTATGGGCTCCTCTTTCTACCTATCTGTCTATTGTATACCGGTGAAATCTACCTTTTAATCTACTTTTTAAATCTACTTTTTAAGTTGCCACGAATTCACGAATTAAATAAAACGAAAACTATTCTATTCTCTTTCAAACATTTTCGCGCGTTCCGTACATTTCTACATACACACGCGCATATCTACCACATTTTTAATTCTAGCTGTACCTATTTACACGCGTAGTGACGTACCGCTCCGATTTACGCGAAACGCGAACCGTAAACGCCCCCATGCGGTCGCCGCCCGAACAACGTCCTCGTCAGTTCTCCTATCGATTAGTCGCGTGTTGCGTGTTCGATTTGCGCAGTTTTGAGGTTAGAACGTTCGCGTTTAAACGCCTTGTCGCGATTGTTTGGCTGGCTCGTTTATTCAGTTTGGTCAATGCTCTGTTCGATAAAATACTTTAATGATCAAATTGCTTATCATCGACGTCAAATATCGTAGGTAAAGCGAAAACTTTCCATCTCGTAATTACGGAGAGAAGATTGGTTGTTCGCGAATACGGTTTGTCTTTTAACCTACAATTGTGCCTTACATCGGTTGCGTATACCTGAGAATTTCAGAAAAAAACATTCCATCTTTCGGTTATTATTATTTTTCGCGATCGAACTCCGACTTTTGTAAATCGCTAGCCATCTTTCGTTAATCGCGCGCCATAAATATCGACTAACGAAATTCCTTCGACTTGTTTCGTTCGATTATTCGTTCGCTTCGTTTCGTTCGGTATCGAAAAGTAAAACGGCGTTACATCGATTTCGATGCTGCACTCGGAGCAGTGTTTGAAATTTCGTTTAGACTAAATATCGTTATACGTTCGACAGTTAATTGTGTCAACTTCGTTTCTGCTTCTGCTTTATCGATCGCTCGGTATGCTCGATCTCGTTTGAAATTTTCGAATCGCGCGATCGAACGAACGTAAAAATCATCGTTAACGAGTGACAAGCGACCAACTAAAAAGTTCATTTTTCTCGGACAGTGTTATCTGGATGTAGAATCGCAGAAATCGTATCTTAAATAAATCGTACGACGAAAAGAAAATAAAGAAACCAGGAAAACTGTTCAATCATCGAAGATGCAGGAGACGAAGAAACGATCGCGATGATCGTTGTGCAAAGACAGAAATTGGACAGTACCAGACATGCATAACGCGTACGTAACATCGTTCGTATTTTTCAATTGGTCGTTTCGTTCATCAATTATCGCATCGAATTCCTAAGAATAGGATCAGCTATCGTGTTTTTCTTTACAGTTCCTCTATCTCGGTAGTACACACGAAAAAGTGACTGGACAATAATGAACCATGCTAACACCGGAATGAAGATTTATTCGAACGACCTATCGATCCTGCGACATAGAAAATTTCACTCGGCCGATAAACTTTACTCGAACGAAATGGTAGGATTGGACAGTCAAGAATTACTCCGAACAAATATTTCCAATGCTACCATGGAATTGGAAATGAAATCCGACGATGAAACGGAAAGCGACGGGGAACCGCATACGCGACGACTTATACCGTCACCGATCGATCATCGGTGCGTTAACGACGATGACGACGGTAACGACGACGACGACGACGACGACAACGATAACGATGATGACGGCCACCACAATAACGACAAACAGTCGATCGTTATTCAAACTTGTCAATCGAATCGAACGGAGGAAGATAATCTTTGGTCCACTTCGATGCAAATGTTCGTGCCTTTTTTATTGGCCGGTTTTGGTATGGTAGCTGCCAGTTTGTTACTGGACGTTGTACAGGTTCGTAGAGATCGTGAATGTTTGTCGGGAAAACGCGGTAAATAGGGACACCTACGAGGAAAAACTCGAGCAATCGATCGTGTTTATTTCGCAGCATTGGCCCGTTTATCAAATGGTATCGGAAGTATATATATTGGTGCCAGCGTTGCTCGGTTTAAAAGGAAATTTGGAGATGACGTTGGCCTCCCGATTTTCGACTCATGCCAATCTCGGCTACACGGATACCAGAAAGCAACGGTGGACCCTGATAATTGGAAACGTTACGTTGATCCAATGTCAAGCAACGGTAGTAGGTCTATTAGCTTCTATAGCAGCAGTCGTACTCGGTTGGATTCCGGAAGCTCAGTTCGATATTCACCATGCTCTTTTACTATGCGCCAGTGCCTTATCTACCGCGTCCATAGCCAGTTTTATATTGAGTTTGGTGATGATCGCTGTTATACTTCTATCCAAAGAGATGAACATCGATCCGGATAATATAGCTACGCCGATCGCAGCCTCTCTCGGTGATTTAACTACTCTGGCCCTTCTTTCAGGAATCGCGTCTGTTTTGTATAAAACGATGGGTAAGCATACGCGTTATACGTATATACCTACATATATGTACATATGTATTATTAAGGGGATACAGAAATCGTTCGTTAATACCTTGAATTCGATTGCGCATTATTTTTTCAGAATACGCGGCATGGATAGCTCCCACCTTGATCGCGGTCCATATCGTGGTTACTCCCGTTTGGGGCTACGTAGCGGCAAAAAATCCATTTACCAGGGAAATATTAGACTATGGCTGGGTACCGGTGATATGCGCGATGCTAATCAGCAGGTTTCTCTCACTTATCGTTAATCGAATAATTAGATTGAAAATAACACGATACAGTTGCGGGTATATTCGAGCAACCAGAGCAACGTCGCTGATATAACAAGTAATTTGTTTCAGCGTAGGAGGTTTAATACTGGACTACACAATATCCAGTTACAAAGGTATAGCTGTATTTCAGCTGGTAATAAATGGCGTCGGTGGTAATTTGGTCGCTGTTCAGGCCAGTAGAATATCAACGTCTTTACACAAAGATCGTCGATACGGTATTTGTAGAACCACCGTTCGTTTCAATCCGTGGCACGTGTTCTGTAGCAAAGGTAGGTGAAATCTAAATCATATCGAAACTTAACCGTACGACGTACATCGAATGAAATCTAAACGTTAGGTGGACACGCGAGAACCGCCCGAGTTCTCTTGGCGATGGTGATACCTGGTCATCTGATATTTGGTTACACCATCAGTTATCTTCAAGCTGGACACACGTCTTTCACGCCTATATTCATCGTAGTCTACTTGACCGCGGCTTTGTTACAGGTATTCGATCGACAAACTCCACGCCTTTAGTCGCCTTTTCCACGCGCTATACCGATATTTTCGTTCGAACGTTACAGGTAATTTTATTGTTATACATCGCCCAACTGATGGTCGCGTGGATGTGGTCGAAAGGAATGGATCCAGACAGTTCCGCGATACCGTACCTAACGGCCGCCGGTGATTTAATTGGAACGGCATTACTAGGAATCGCTTTTCATCTGCTATACGCCATCGGTGACAAAGATTCGGACGTAGGAGACTGACCGTTCCGGACCTTTATGTTCGTTTACGTTTCGATCTTGCGCAGAACGTTCGCTCCATACGGAAAAGAACAGTAAGCATAACAACGTTAACGTTTATCAACGTTTTAACGCGATATTTGTGATCAAGTTCGATACGTTTCACGCGATACGGTTCGTTCTTACTCCTCGACGTTCTCTTTTCTTCTCTTTTCTTCGATTCCGAATCGAATCGAATCGAATCGAATCGAATCGAATCGAATGAAATGGAATCGAAGAATTCTGTTTCTTTATTTTGTTCCATCTACGTGTTTCGTAGTCGATACACTTATTAGGGATAAACGAAGAAAATAACTGCAGGAAAGGGGCGAACCATACATATATGTATAATAAGCGCAGAAACGAACGCATACGAGAGAGCGAGACGAAGAGAGCTTAAATTTTTTGCGATTCGAAACTATTTTGTCGGGTCTTCGATCGATCATCGTGGCTACTTTCGGCGATGCGAAAAAATCTTGACAATGAATCCACCTATAATCAAGTTCAACTACGAAACGTCGATATTTACGAATACACATGCACGAGATTGTTCGTTTCAGCCAGAACAGGAATATGAAATATACGAGCGAATCGTATCGCGTTTAACTTTGCAAGCTCAAATATTTTTTATCGGGGACTGTATTTACTAGTTAAAATAAATTCAAGTTGCAAAATTTTGAACGTTTCTATTACTTTACATCGGTACGCAAGCTTTCTTTTATTCCCGAATCACTCGTTATACAGCAGTTAATCTGTTTTAATCGTTTAACGATAAAAGCGATTCGAATCGGATATAACTTGATAAAAGTTGAGAGGAGCAAGAAAGGAACGGTAGAAGACGAATCGAGTTAAAAGTTGAGGTAGCGGTATTTCTTTGGTACAACGTACATCGTACGGCCGAGTTACGAGTAGGGCTTGAAGGTTTGTAAAGGTAATCGCGTAAGCGAGACAGATTCGAGCTTGTGCGTTCAATGTTCCTACGTAGCGATACGTGCACGTGCACGTGCACTGCTACGTACGTATACCTACGTACTATATGTACACGTGCGCGCCCGCGTACGTACACACATACGCGCGCACGTTAACTCGACGACGGATGAATCGTCTACGTACGTACGAAAGGAACAAGCGTGGTGGTCGAGAAGCACATCGTCCCGTCTCCGTCAATGAAATAGTTAGATCTGTCAGTGCCAACTATCGCATCGGTCTCGACGGAGCCTTTTAGATTTCATCTATCGCGTAGCACGATCGTGTCGTTCTCTAAGCCGTTAACGCGCGCGCGATCTCCCCGTCATTCGTCGCGACAGCTTCTTCTACTCGTTGCGTTGGCGGGACGCGAAACGAAAATAAAGTGCCGCGTGAATCGGAAATGATCGATTTCATCGATTAAATTCGAATAAAGATATTTTTCTTTCGTTTCGTTTCATATCGTATCGTGATCGGCGTATCGGTGCATCGACTCAAAGGCGATCGAAGAAACGAAAATTTACAAAAAACAATGGTCATTCTCGTGTCTCCGTGTTCGCGTTCGTCGTTTTTAGTTCGTGCCAGAACGTTGTTTCACGTTCTTAAAGAGGGTTCGCGCGTTCTTCGTTCTTCGTTGTTACGTCGGCAACGAAAAGAACGAGAATAATTGGCACGAGTAACGAAACGATATAATAGAATCGTGGTTACCGTGATCTGTCGGTAACGCGTCGAAGCTCGAGTTTCAACGGAAATAAAGAAAAGAAGGAAGGAAGCTGATTCGTGAGGGTACAACGGTGCGCGATTTTGTGAAATTTATCCTCTTCTTCTCGTTCTCTCTCTCTCTCTCTCTCTATATATATATATATATATAACACACTCTGTCTTCCTTTTCTGTCCCCGTCGGTAAGTCTGTCTCTTTTACTGATCCCCCTTACTCTCCTGTTATTCTTGCCGCTTTTTCATCGCGCATTCGTTCACCGTTCCACGTCATGTTACGATCGCGCGTAAATCTAGTAGCGAGATAGCAGGTTTTATCTCGCGTGGCACGTCGCGTCGTGTCGATCGCAGAACAGGGGGGTAGCAGCAGGAACATACGCGCGCACGTTAACTCGACGACGGATGAATCGTCTACGTACGTACGAAAGGAACAAGCGTGGTGGTCGAGAAGCACATCGTCCCGTCTCCGTCAATGAAATAGTTAGATCTGTCAGTGCCAACTATCGCATCGGTCTCGACGGAGCCTTTTAGATTTCATCTATCGCGTAGCACGATCGTGTCGTTCTCTAAGCCGTTAACGCGCGCGCGATCTCCCCGTCATTCGTCGCGACAGCTTCTTCTACTCGTTGCGTTGGCGGGACGCGAAACGAAAATAAAGTGCCGCGTGAATCGGAAATGATCGATTTCATCGATTAAATTCGAATAAAGATATTTTTCTTTCGTTTCGTTTCATATCGTATCGTGATCGGCGTATCGGTGCATCGACTCAAAGGCGATCGAAGAAACGAAAATTTACAAAAAACAATGGTCATTCTCGTGTCTCCGTGTTCGCGTTCGTCGTTTTTAGTTCGTGCCAGAACGTTGTTTCACGTTCTTAAAGAGGGTTCGCGCGTTCTTCGTTCTTCGTTGTTACGTCGGCAACGAAAAGAACGAGAATAATTGGCACGAGTAACGAAACGATATAATAGAATCGTGGTTACCGTGATCTGTCGGTAACGCGTCGAAGCTCGAGTTTCAACGGAAATAAAGAAAAGAAGGAAGGAAGCTGATTCGTGAGGGTACAACGGTGCGCGATTTTGTGAAATTTATCCTCTTCTTCTCGTTCTCTCTCTCTCTCTCTCTCTATATATATATATATATATAACACACTCTGTCTTCCTTTTCTGTCCCCGTCGGTAAGTCTGTCTCTTTTACTGATCCCCCTTACTCTCCTGTTATTCTTGCCGCTTTTTCATCGCGCATTCGTTCACCGTTCCACGTCATGTTACGATCGCGCGTAAATCTAGTAGCGAGATAGCAGGTTTTATCTCGCGTGGCACGTCGCGTCGTGTCGATCGCAGAACAGGGGGGTAGCAGCAGGAAAAGATGGAGGGAACGAAATCGGTGCGTTCGGCCAACAATGCCGAACGAAGGGGATGCGTTCGAAAGCGCGGTTCGCGGCTCACGGGAACCAAGTATCAAAACGTATGTTAAATTATTGCTCCTCATGGTCGAACTTAAACACGTGGAGTAATTTATCAATTTGTGAATATGTTACGGAAGTGCTTCGTACTCGCGCGTCGCTAACGTTAAACGGCAATATTTGCAAATGTCAATGCATGAATGTTGCGGGACACCTTTGATCATCGATCGCGCGTTATTTTCGCTTTCTGTTTTTACGTTAGTGCAACAATGGCAATGACGGCAATTACGACAACCACGTCAATTAGAAAGAAAAAAGGCTCGCATATACGCGAACGTTGGACAAAACCGTATCAAACTTTTCTATCCATTTTGTTCCGAGTATATTCGACGCTTACTCGGACGTTTAAGGACCGTATTTATCTTTACGGTTCGGTTTTTCTCCACTTATTCGCTGATTCGAGTAGGTTAAAAGTAACGAAACTGGTCGATGGGACAAAGCTACCGTTGTAATAAAAAATTTACCGCGGCCACGCGAAGCCTGACTTTGAAGGTGATACGACCTTGCTCTTATCGTAGCGAGAAAAGAAGCATACGTGCTAGGAGGAAAACTTGTACGATTCCGAATGTTCGTTAAAAAATGTAGAAAAGATTCGTTTACATTTTCCTGGCGTTCGCAACTAGAAGAAACGGTAAGATAAGCGTGTTCTCGATACACGATAAAAGAAACGGGCAACGTTCCGAGGTACAGCACGACGACGATGAAGGGCGAGCGATATCGCATATGTCTGGATCGTGATCGATTGGCGAGCCGAAGAAAGACAATCGATTCCAATAGGGTAGACGTTGAAAACGACATAGAGTAACTGGATATTTTCACGGGAAATAGAGACAGACGACGGGTAGATTCGGGTTAATCCGAAAGAAGCGGACTATATCGAAGAAGGCAGATAGGTTCTCTGCCTGCTCGCACGGCCAGGAGGAACAGTGGCAAGCGGAGGACAGGTAGTAGACGCGGGCGGACAGTAAAGCAGGCAAGCAATCGGGCTTCGCTAGGAGCGATGATCGATAAATTCGCGCTTGCTCCGTTCGAGCCATGTTCCCGGTAAAAGTCCCGAGCGAGCGTTTAAGGAGACTAGCGTGATGCACGATCGAGATCAGTCGCGATGTAACCATAGCGTGAAACGGCCTCGCACCAGGCCACCTGCCTTACACCGCCAAATGCGTGACAACGGTTAATTTTCTTTTTTGCCAGAGTCAACACGGTTTCGAGTACATCGAAAATCAGTTTTCTCGAGTCAACGAATCTGGATAAAAGTGGACGCATCGTCGCGAATCCGCTAACCGATACACAGGTACGATATGCTCCGATACTGATATACCGAGATATACCGAGATATACCGAGATATACCGAGATATATGGCCCTTGGACGTCGACGATACGTATCGGTACGAGTGCTCTTCTCGTAACGGAACGTTTCGACGTCGAAAATTCGTTATCCGGTGGACCCACTTATCTCGCGTAGACAGCAGGGACGTTAATCGACTAGTGGCGCGTGCGCGCGTTCTCGCTTTCGCACGTTCTCGCGCGCACTCTCGCGTGTCTGCGTACGCGTGTACACCTACTTACTTACGTAGTCAGGTGGAAAGACGCGACGTTTAATCTCGAACGTGTTTGCGAACAAATTTTAAATAACTTTTATCTCGTACGTTTGCTTTATTCGTGCAAAGATCGTGATCGTTTCCGTCCGCGGAAAATCTTTTCCTCGCGAAAGCACGCGTCTCTTTCGAGCCTCGAGTCGAACGCCTCGATACGTTCAGGTATCTTTCCGTCGATAGTTGGACAATATCGGTTGGAAAATTTCATTGTTGCGAAGAATATCGGTGAATACGTTGAGAATCGAGGAGGGAGGGGGCGTAAGCGGCAGAAAGACGCGGGGTAATTCGACGGAAAGACCGGTGTTTGTTCTACGGAACGATGTCGAGCGTTAGCGGAAGGCGAAAAATCGGGAATAAAGAACGAGGCGACGGTGGTAAAGGAGAATGAAGGGGGAAAGGGGAAGAAAGCCGTAGCATAAAGAGGAAAGCATTAGAAGAAATAATGGCAGTCGATCGAATCTCGGTCGCTCGTGACACCGAAATTCGAGGCAGCGGGAGGCGACGCGACGCGGGCTAGAGATATCGTCCCTCGCTGGTTACGTAATTTCTTCGATTCTTGTCCTGAAACACAGACGCAACGAGCGAACATTTAGACGAGTGTTATCATTCTCGAAGGAGAATGGCTATATATCCGTGGCAGCGAGTCGCACGAGGTCCTCAGTAGAAGATGATAGAGGACCAGGCGCATCAACATCCGGTACGACTACCTCCCGATAAGCACGCCCGTATCGATGTTACAGGAGGCAGATTCGAAAAGTACGTTCAACGACTATTAATCGTCCGATTTCGCGACGCTAGTCTCGCGGTAAACCGTAACGTAGACGGTAACGGATCAATTAACGGCTGAGCAGAATCGTTTTGTCGCGATATCTTTGGACGCGATCGAAATAAGCGCGACAAACGAGAGCAAATACTCGGCCGGCAAGATTTTTTACGCGAATTATCTGTTAACAGTGATCAATGCAAAGAACCTCTGCTTTCCGAGAAGCAAACTTCCCACAGGATAACACCGGTGGACGAAGCTCGTCCGCGTGCACATGCCTCGGAATCGACGGGCACGAGTTCGGTTACAGGCACGAATAGCATGGTCACGGCCTTCGCACGTTCTCGCGCGCACTCTCGCGTGTCTGCGTACGCGTGTACACCTACTTACTTACGTAGTCAGGTGGAAAGACGCGACGTTTAATCTCGAACGTGTTTGCGAACAAATTTTAAATAACTTTTATCTCGTACGTTTGCTTTATTCGTGCAAAGATCGTGATCGTTTCCGTCCGCGGAAAATCTTTTCCTCGCGAAAGCACGCGTCTCTTTCGAGCCTCGAGTCGAACGCCTCGATACGTTCAGGTATCTTTCCGTCGATAGTTGGACAATATCGGTTGGAAAATTTCATTGTTGCGAAGAATATCGGTGAATACGTTGAGAATCGAGGAGGGAGGGGGCGTAAGCGGCAGAAAGACGCGGGGTAATTCGACGGAAAGACCGGTGTTTGTTCTACGGAACGATGTCGAGCGTTAGCGGAAGGCGAAAAATCGGGAATAAAGAACGAGGCGACGGTGGTAAAGGAGAATGAAGGGGGAAAGGGGAAGAAAGCCGTAGCATAAAGAGGAAAGCATTAGAAGAAATAATGGCAGTCGATCGAATCTCGGTCGCTCGTGACACCGAAATTCGAGGCAGCGGGAGGCGACGCGACGCGGGCTAGAGATATCGTCCCTCGCTGGTTACGTAATTTCTTCGATTCTTGTCCTGAAACACAGACGCAACGAGCGAACATTTAGACGAGTGTTATCATTCTCGAAGGAGAATGGCTATATATCCGTGGCAGCGAGTCGCACGAGGTCCTCAGTAGAAGATGATAGAGGACCAGGCGCATCAACATCCGGTACGACTACCTCCCGATAAGCACGCCCGTATCGATGTTACAGGAGGCAGATTCGAAAAGTACGTTCAACGACTATTAATCGTCCGATTTCGCGACGCTAGTCTCGCGGTAAACCGTAACGTAGACGGTAACGGATCAATTAACGGCTGAGCAGAATCGTTTTGTCGCGATATCTTTGGACGCGATCGAAATAAGCGCGACAAACGAGAGCAAATACTCGGCCGGCAAGATTTTTTACGCGAATTATCTGTTAACAGTGATCAATGCAAAGAACCTCTGCTTTCCGAGAAGCAAACTTCCCACAGGATAACACCGGTGGACGAAGCTCGTCCGCGTGCACATGCCTCGGAATCGACGGGCACGAGTTCGGTTACAGGCACGAATAGCATGGTCACGGCCACTGTCACGACCGCGAACTCGAACGCGTGGACGGACACCGTCGTCGGGGTTAATACCGCCTTGGTCGCCGCTGCCGCCGCCACCGCCACCGCTACCGAAACCGTCGCAACCGCAACCGCCACTAACAACAATAAATCCCTCGACGACGATTGCGTGCAGGTACCGATCTTCGACGAAGGAACCACCGACAGCAGCCGCTTGCCCGACGTCGTAGCCGAGAGTAAAATCTACGGCGTGACCGAGGACGAACCCCTCGAATCTTACTTGGCAATTACCATTCAAGTTTTCATACCGTTTCTTATCGCTGGCCTTGGCATGGTAGGAGCTGGATTGGTTCTGGATTTGGTTCAAGTACGAATATCCGCAGTTCGCGTTCTATCCTATTACGAGCGCTCGATCGAGCTTTCTTATGCCTATTATTCTCCGCAGCATTGGGTCGTGTTCGATAAGGTCAGCGAACTAATGATCTTGGTACCGGCGCTATTGGGCTTAAAAGGCAACTTGGAAATGACCCTCGCATCGCGTCTCTCTACTCAAGCGAATCTTGGACACATGGACACGCCGAAACAGCAGTGGTACATGATCGTTGGAAACCTAGTTCTCATTCAAGTAAGTTCAATTCGCGTTTCGTTCAGGTTTCTAGCCTCTCTTGGCCCTCCGTATTTCCTTCCAGTCCTTTCGTTCCTTCAATTTCTCCTTCCAGCTCTTTCCAAAATTATTCGCGAGCGAAATCTTTCTGTCGACAATGTACATATGTAGCATACGTATACGCGACTCGCGGACGTCTTATCATCGGCGCCACGATTTTATTTGATTACGGTAAACGACCTTCGAGCACAACCTACTAACGAGAATAGATATCGTTCCGTTAAATCATGGAATCGCGTACATTACGATTTTTTTGTTTCTCCGTTCAATCGATCGTTGCGCCGTCGTTCGATCGTGTCGACGTTCGCGTTAAAGAAGACCAGTTCGTGTTGGCAGTGCCAAGCGATAGTGGTTGGATTTCTGGGCTCGGTAGTGGCGATCGTGATGGGGGCATTTCGGAACGGTACCATCTCGTTGGATCACGCTTACCTGTTGTGCGCGAGCAGCCTGGTTACCGCGTCTTTGGCATCGTTCGTCCTCGGATTGATCACCGCGGGAGTGATCGTTTTCTCGCGACACTGTCACATCAACCCGGACAACGTTGCGACCCCGATAGCCGCGAGCCTCGGTGACATCACGTCCTTGGCTCTGCTCTCTTGGATCTCGACCATTCTTTACGAGTCGATAAACAAGCAAGATTGGGTCGCGCCTCTCGTCATAGCCTGCTACCTGTTGGTCACGCCGCTCTGGGTATGGATCGCCAAAAAGAACAGATACACCAACGATGTCCTTTATTCCGGCTGGACTCCCGTCATGATCGCTATGTTGATCAGCAGGTGAATAGCTTACCTTCTTCGATTACTAACGTTCTTACCGCTTTACTCTTACTCTTTTCCTCTTCCTGTTACGCAGTTGCGGCGGTTTGATATTAGAATTCATGGTGTCACGGTTCGAGAATTTGACCGTCTTCCAACCGGTTATCAACGGCGTGGGCGGAAATTTGGTAGCGGTGCAGGCGAGCAGAATATCGACGGCTCTTCACAAACAAGCGGAACTAGGAACGCTTCTGATACCGCCGGGTCACACGCATCCCGTCATTTTTATCACGCCTATCGCAAACTTTTTCGGTAAAGGTAAGTTCTCCAAGGTATAGATCGTTTATTTCATTTTTTATCTTCCCCTTATATTCCTATTGCAGGTATGCACGCGAGGACGACCAGGGTTCTAATGGCGATGGTTATACCGGGTCACATCATTTTCATTTATCTGATCAATTATATGAAGGATGGCAACACCTCGTTGACGCCTCTGTTCGTGTTCGTTTACCTCTGCGCCGCTATGCTGCAAGTCGCTGCTCTCCTCTACATCGCTTACATCATGATACATTGGATGTGGAAACGAAAAATCGATCCCGACAATTCAGCGATTCCGTACTTGACAGCGATGGGAGACTTACTGGGCATCAGTTTGCTAGCGATCGCTTTCCAATTTCTCTATCTCGTCGGCGATCAGGATTCCGATCAACCGATCGCTCCCTAAAAACGCGGACCGTTTAAAATTCGGCCCGGTCGAATTTTCTGATCGGATGCACACACTTTTCTGTCTCGACAGCTTACGACGCGTTGATGCGCCGCGTCGAACAATTTTATTTCAACGGAATTTCTTTTCTCTTCTACACCGATCGTTATTCTCGCGTCATTGATTTTCTTGCTCCTAACCTCCCTCTCTCTACCTCGCCCCCTCAAATAAAAATCGAACCGCGCGGAGAGGAACGAAATCCTCTTCATTATCGAGACGTACATACAAGCGATTCGCTGAGGGAGAATCACGTAATTATATTATGTCGCCCAGTCACACCGTGACCCTTAACGAGGCTGTGCTTTTACGAAAGTATCGTATATCGTTGTACGGCGTTTCACGAAAATCGGATAAAGACAGTGTCTCCTCTTTTGTCAAATCGAAATGTTCGACTCGATTCGATTCCACTGTGTCGGGTGTCGTTTTGTCCTCAGGTATCGGATAAATAATACGTGAAATTACGGGCTTTATTTTTTAAACAAAACCAACAGAACTACGAGCAAATTTAACCAATTACGCTCGAAAGAATCTTTATTCGATGCATTTGCAACCGATCACGAGATTCGGAAGTGGTTTGCTAGTTCGAAGATCGGACAAGACATACGGATAATTTATTTTTAAACGCTTCGGAAGACTCGTAACAAACTCTCTCGTCCGTTCTCTGTCGTCTCGATCGACGAAATCGGAACGATATAAAGTTACGCGATCAGCCTGTACCTGTACGTACGTACCTACCTAACTATGTACACTTACGCGTTTCGATTGTTTTTATAACCCATGATTCCGTTCAAGTCTTCCACCGATGCTAGCTCACATAGCGTGAAAACGACGCGCAACTTTATCCTTTAAAACTTTACCTACTATTTAGGCGAACAAACGGATAGAAAATTACGGACATCGAACGGCAAATCGATTAACGTTATCATCCCTTTCTTCATTTACCGTCGTTCCGGCTCGTCTTCTGCTCGTCTCGATACGCGCGCGCGGTAATCTTCCGGCAACGTTCAATACTACTACTTTCTCTTATCAAGTAATATTCGTAATTTGTTTCATAAGCGAATCAAGATCAAGAACGTAACATCGTTCAACGTTGTCAAGCAGGATTACCGTCAATTTTCCACGTACCGCGCATACATTGTTCGTTTCCTTGATATACCGTTACCTGAATCGAGCGAAAAGAATACTCAAAAATGCACGATAATTTGCGAACGCGTCACACCATTTATCTTGTTATGTCATCGCGCGATCAATAGTTTCGCTTCTCGACGAAACGATCGATAAATCGCAAACTCAATGTTCCCCAACCGGAATCGGTTGTACGCGAAATGTCATGTTGTTCCCCTGACTCCGCTTCACACCTACCTATCTACCCACACACACACACATCACGCATTGTTCAGGCTTTATACTCGCGTGCGAGCGCTACATACGCCTAATGTTTCGACAACGTTGTAAAAATCGATAGGAAAAAGAACTATACCAAAGATTAGGCTATAAATATATCTTGACAATAATGTTTGTTTCAAGGAAGCAAATAAGCTATTTTTTACCCGACACAATCGACGAACGGATAACGAAACGTTTTCACCATTTACATTCAAGCACGTACCTTGAACATGTGTCGCTCGAAGTAAATTTGTACAAAGACGTTGCTCGATGTCGATGCACTTTAAAAGAGATCGCGAGCTTCGTGAACGAATATCAACGGCTATGACGCGAACACGGTATGTTCTTCTTCAAATGTGTTCCTTCGAGATTCTGAGCGAGAGAAGAACAGACGGAAAGACGTCGTGAAAATCGACTGCAATACATTCGAAAGGCTACGCTTGATTATTTTTCGTACGGTGCTAATAATAATAATAAAAATAAAAATAATAATAATAATAATAATGAATATAATATAATATAATATAATAATAGTAATAATAGTAACGATAATAATAGGAGAAGGAACAAAACGGTTTTCGCGATACTGAGTCTCGCTCGTTTCACCCCACAACATTTTATGGTACCTGCTGACTCTCGGTTAAATCGTAAGACTTTGCTCTAAACTGATTTCTAGTTCGATCGGACGGAATCTTCGTAAACGTCGATCGTACTTTTCAACGATAGAATAATGATCGGAACGTATTGTTGATATGTGCCGATGTAACACGATTTAACGCACATTTCGATGAAAAAAATTGATGTAGTTTTATATAATAAAACTGAAGGAAAAAACGCTCCAAAATATTTTCCAATCACCCATTCGATCACTCGATTCCTTCTCTCGTCGACGACCCTTCACTTTCCCTTCGTGTTCGCGACTCGTCTAGTTCGCTATTAAACGAACGACAACGATTCAAACCGATTGAAAAGCTCCGACGTGTACAAAATAGTCCAGTTTATTTATTGCAAGAGTTTTAACTTCCAAAAATAAGTTTACATCTTGTAGAATTTTAAAGACAACCAAAGAAACAGACGCGCTGCGGCCGATACCCTTCGCCTTACTCGACCCTTGTGTTCAACGAGTGTGATACGAATGTTCGCTAGAGACATCCGAACTATTCCAAACATCCAAAGCACTGTAATAACAAAATCTTATAAAAGTATGAATTGCGTGCGATTAATTTCGATCATCTACCAACGAACGAACGATCGGATGATTACATGACAATCGATTCTATAATTAACTTGCTGACACGCGTATATCGTGTACTTTATACGTAAAGTAAAGTACAATGTTTGGAACGAAATACGTGATTAGGTCGGATCGAACAGTTATTCGGGTTAAGCGTCGTTTTATTGCAACTTCGCTTCTTCTTTCGCTTTCCAAAGAATCAACTCCATACATGCCATTGCGTCTTCTTTACTGTCGTGTCCACCGACTGCAATATCATTACGAAATCAGTGTACGTTTTATTGAAAGCAAATCAAATGGAACTGGATTTAATTGTTAACGAACCGTCATTTTGAATGAGTTTTCTCAAATATTCGGAACAAAGATTTTTCAATGCTCTCTTTTGTGGATATCCGTTCTTGTGTGGAAACATGACGCTCGTGTCGACCACTGTGTCATGTAACAGTCTCAAAGATTTGAAATCACTCTCGAGACTGTGACCCACCAATATCGTTTTGTCCGAGAACATCGTCAATATCGTTGCTTGGACGTCCAATAATGTTGTTGTTACGTCCTTCATGCTTTCTTCCGTTATTCCAGAAAACCTGCACAATTAGTATCGTCGATTAACGCGTTGGCGCGACAAACGAGACAAACCGCTTCTTTTCCATTTCCAAACTAATAAATATTCTCTAATAAATGCGTATGTCGATATATGCTACGCGTGTACGCGTATCGCTATATATAGCGATAGATATTTTAACCGAAACGAACGATTAATCTATCTCTGTACCGCTCTGTACCTTGTATTGTAATCGATTATGGGATTTTGAGGCTTGACCAACGCCTCGTACACTACGTTGCAATCTTCATCGATGATCGTTATTCTCGTCAATTCTAATCCTTGCGTCGTGTAACACATTTCACAGTCTAGCGCGTAAACTCCTTGTTCTTCGGCCGGTGTACCTTCGCGATCACAGCAAACGAGGCAAAGAAAAGAGTAAAATTTCTCGAAGAGTACGAAGAAGAGCGCGAAAGCGATGAAAAGGAAAAGGACGTTGGTGAGGCATGAAAACACAGATAATATCGATTTAACGGCAATATACCTTTTGACAAAGTTTTCACGTAACCACGAAGATTTTCGTAATCGGTATAATCCCAAACGTGGGTCTTCGCGACGCAACAACCGGTCGCTGAACCATACTGTTGACAGCAACTGTATTTACCCTCTCCTCTGATCGTGAATTTTCTACCCCAGTGATATATACAATTTTGTGGTTGCAATGCAAATCCGTATTTATTGATCATGTAAGTCTGACCGCATCGGCAACAAATTCTTTCGTTAGGCACTTTCGACAAGACACTCTGATTCCGAGAATTGATCACGTAAACTTTCGCACGACCCTAGAACAAATCAAATAAATTCTCTAATATTACAAGCTGATATTCGTATCTCTTTTACCTTTTGACCATCCGGATGTGGACGAGGAAATCCGTTATCTCGAAGTTGTTGTTCCGTCATTATCCATTTCTTCAACATACCGTACAGTGCTACCCCTTTAAAGTCTGTCACGCATTTCTTCGTCTTAATGACACTCCAAGAACCCTTTGTTTTTCCGGCGAGTACCGCTTCGTGAGACACTACGCTGTTACCCGATGTCGTTGCCGTCGCTGATTGATTCTGCTCAATTTCTTTCTTTAATCTGTGCGCGGCAAGCATACAAGAATTTTTATAAACGGCTAAAGCTTTGCATCTTTCGTGGCAAGCGTGTTCTTCTTTAACCGCGCGTTGCGCCGCATCTTCGGCATTCGTGTAAATCGAAACGCATATGTCGTGCATCATATTCACGTAATACTGGCGAACATTTAAAGGAAACTTTTGCGTAGCCACTTGTAACGGTTCGGGTCGTATCAATTGTGGAATCTAAAATGCAGAAAAACCTAGAATACCGTAACGACTGTGTTCTTTCGAAACTCGCGACAAACCAAACAGATACCAACCACCTGTGGAACGTGAGCGATCCGTAAGCCACTCTTGGCCGTCTGCGCAGCTGTTTTTTGGTTATCCGTCACTTTAGTTTCTGTCAGTTTTATCGCTTTTTCTTTCATTTTCTTCCCCTCTATCGCTAAGGATTTCCCATACGGCACATGGGCGATTCGTACTCGACCTGTCACAGAATATTACCAAACTCGTGAAATTCGAACAGTTTAAAAAAATCTTTATTTATGACACAGTAAACTCTCGAACTTCCCGAATTACGTCGTGTTTCGTAATCAATTTTAATCAGGAAACTATTACATATATATATATATATATATATGTTAATCAAAGTTTCGTAAGAAAAAAAAATTCAGACGTCTCGCGTATGTGTTACTATTTGTCAAGATTTTACTGCATCGAGCTTTTTCCTCGACTATCGCAACAAACGATCGCGTTACCATTTCCTCCGTTCAGCTTGAGTTCGTTGTTACATCTATTTCTTCTTGTTTCCACGGAATTACGAGGTACATCCTTGGTAACGTTACTATTACTACTACTACCGTTGTCTTCGCCATCGCGATCGCCATCGTGATCGATACCGGTACTGGCATTGATATCGATATCGCAATTGTCACCGGTACCTTCATCACCACCACCACCTCCTCCTTCTCCTTCTTCTCCTCCGCCACCAACCCAACAACTACTACCACCATCACCAACGCCACCACTCGCAGAAGTAGTCTTTTTTACTAGAGCTTCTCGCATCAAACGCCACCTTTCGTACATTTTCTGTTGTGGATTTATCAATTTTTTTCCTTGCTGGTTAACCCCCGTGTGTCTGGTAACGCATACAGCCGCTGAAGGATGCGCCACTCTTTTCCTACCAACCTCTTCGCTATGTTCCTTTTCGTGAATCGACAATGAAGATTCTTTCGATGCTTCTGTCGTTTTCGGCCGTTCCGATACTTGATATTCCTTTCAACAACATTCCAAGTATGAACGTTCGAGTTAACTTAAACTATTCTAATTTAAGTTTTCGTTTTAACTGAACCAATTAATTCATCATGCGAAATACCTGAAATATTTTTAGGCACTCCTCTTGTACGTCGTGATCCGAATCGGATGTACTAAATGTTAAGTCCACGTCCACGATACTATTACGATTATTGCTGTTCTCCTCGTCCTCGTCGTCGCTCGCTGACCTATCCGTCGAACATTTTCTTTTCTTGTGATCCGTATGCGCGCGGAATCTTCCACTCGTCCTATCGTCAGATTTTCGATTTGTTTTCGAATGATTGCTCTCGCAATTCCTCTTCTCGACGCGTTCCTGCCTTCTCGGTGAACCGGAACGATTCTTCGATTCGCGTTCGTCGCGTTTCCCCGATTCCTGATAATCTTCTTCTCGTTTATCCCTCTTACTAGTTCTGTGTCTTGTTTCGCCCCTTTCTCTCTCTTTCTCTTTGCTTTTATGCTTTTTATGATCCTTGTGCCTACTTTTATCCCTGTCACGTTTCGCGTCTTTCGATTCTTTCTCTTTGTCGTGTCTCGCACGACTCCTACTTTTACTTCTACTATGAGACGCAGAACGCGACGTATCGTTCGAATCGTGTTTCTCTTTGTATCGTTTATGAGAACTATCGCGACTCTTTACATTTTTTTCTTTAGACTTATCTCTCCTTTTATGTTCTCTATCCGAATTTACTCCCGCTACTTTTTTTCCTTCGCTCGCTAACAATTTCGTACTTTCTTCCCTTAATGATTCCTCTTGTTTCGAAACATTACTGTTTCTCGATATTTTCCCGTTACAGTTCCTCTTGTCGTCATCACCGTCACGTTCCTTTACAACGTTTATTTTCGGCCACGTATCTACCACCGCATCGTGTCCCTTATTTAAACGTTCGAGTCTCCTAACGTTACCATAAACTTCATTCCCTTCTACCGGTATACGATCAGCATTTTCTGAAACAATTTTATTTACTTTTCGATCGTTACCGTCATTATCTTCTTCTTTGCCTTCGTTCTCATCATCGGCCTCGTCTTTATCTTCGCCGCCGCCAAAATCACCGCCATCCTCGTCGTCGTTGTCGACGTCGTCATCGTCAGAAAACTTTGGCTCCACGTCTAAACGAGGATATTGAAACGACTCGCTAGATGGAATCGTGGAAATAGATTTGGGATGTACCGATGCTTCGCCCATTGTATCGAAGCTTCCTTCAAATGTATCCAATGCAGATTTGTTCGATCCATCAGAAGTTTTTAACGGAGCTTTCACTTTCTTCGGAACATACTCCTCCCTCCTTTTTTTACACTTTGGATAATACGGTTCCCTAAGTTTAAACAGATAGTCATTCGAACTCTCATCGTTATAGAAATACGTAGAAGCTGACTCTGATTTGTACGTAGGTACGTAACTGTGCGTTGCATCTCGAATTTCAGAGTTGGTTATCACGGTAGGTTTATATTTAATTTCACCAGTTCGAGGTGGTTCCACTGCTTCGCAACCTCTGGCTAGCCATGGTTTCGTTCCATCCGGAGAACATTTACGTTTTACCGCTACTCTGCTTTCCCTGGTAGGCATATAGGACACTATCGGTATATGTCGCTTCTTCAACTCCGCGATGGGCGTGGGATTATAAACGCATGGAACCGGTTTAGTGAGCGACGTTGACGGATCTACCCTCTTCTCCGTTGTATTCGTCGCCACGGTATCCAAAGTATCGGATGATCCGGATGTTAATGTCGGCGTTAGACCTTCCACTACCTGAGAAACGACATTCTGACAGGAAAACTTGTCACCGTTCGTCGCATCTTGATTAGCGAGAACCTTTTTAACAGCTTCCGTTACTAATTTTTGCAAAACGTCCGAACCGGATGATACCATCGTACAAGATTTTGATTCCTGAACTTGACCCGCAGTACCGCTTTCCACCGCCTCGGATGTTTCCGCGGTAACCCCAACATCTTCTAAATACAATTTATATATTAAAAAGAAGTAATTCGTTACAAAGAAATCTATACTCCTAGCGACAAAGAATTGGAGTAACCAAGTAACTCACCTCGTTTCGAATGCTTGAAATGACAGTAAGGTCTATCGCACGTTCCACTTTCGTAAAACGGACAATTGATAGCTTTAAAGTAACCGGTCGAAGGCAACATAACTATTTCATTGTACTTTGGTCTTTCGGTCGCTCGTTTCTCGAAAAGCGTTGCATAAAGTCGTATAAGTGCACCAACTTTTTCAATGAAACCAACTATAACTGTTTCTTAGTTGGTAAACATCACTCTTTTTTCTATCGAACCGATGCGTCTTCAGTCATTATTCCAGACAGATCCGTGGATGTTTAGAAAACGCATCGAACCCACCAAACTCGCAATAAATCGAATCCCAATAGTATAGGTTATGTAAAGCAAGATTATACATTTTCTTCCGCGCACTCTACGTTTCTTCGAACGCATCCTTTCCCTTCCCTTTAACTCCTACACGACCCTACCGCCCCCGTGCAATTGTTTCGTTTCCATCGCTACTACAAGTGTCGTTTCTAATTTCCGTCATGTTTACTCCGTATCACAACCGTAAATACGTACTTGTATAAAACACGATCATAATCTGCATATGCATTATGTACACGCGACACGTATATTTTATATTCGTATGTACGTATAATGTAAGTCAGGTTCGAAAATACCTGTGACAATGGCTGGGATACTCTAACAAAGCATAAAAGTTCTGTAAACTTCATTCACCGTACAGCGCTACTATCGTTTTGCTTGCAATACGGGATCATTCATCGATATACTATATAACCAAACACTGACTGACTCATTCGCTCGCTTAGTCGTCAGAATGTTTGGGAATTTCCCGTCCTACTAGAGACTTTTGGTTTTTTTCATTCGATATCTTTCATCAACAATTGGAAATGCAAAAAGTATGATGCGTTCAAATTTCTTACTCTAACAAAAGTTACGGCGATAAAAACCTATAAACGAAGTATGTAAAATCGTAAGGAGGCTGACGACGATTTGGAGGGCCCCTAGCGAGCAAAGCGAATAGATATTGTGACAAGAACAAAAATTCGTCTTAGCTATGCAGGAATTTCGCCAAAAATAATTTTTTGAAACTAAACATTTTATTCGATCGAATTAAAATTTTACGAAATTTTGTTATAAAAGTATAATAAAAAAAAAATAATAATAATCACCTAAACATTATCAGCAAATGTATTTTTCTATAAAATATTCATCAATTATAAAATAATTTGTTAATTTGAAAAAAATTTTACTAATACGTTCAACATCTTGCTTTATACCTCTTTTTTTCCTTTTCATAGAAGCAAGTTTAACGCGTTTAAAAAACATTCTTTCGATGGAACCTAAATACGAGGCATACGAGTTTCGTTTCTTTCCTCACCGTGACATCAGCGAAATACATATACAGGAGAACACGCGTTGCGATACTGGAATACGGCACAACTTGTGTTGCCGTTTAAAAAACGTAACACCCGTTTTTCGAACATAATTCGATAAAACGATCATCGTTACGTTTCATTCTGAAGATGAAGCTTAAATACCATACATGTACGTTCTATTTTAAACATTTGTGTAAATATACGTATATATTTTTAAACATACTATAACAAAACGATACAAAATACAACGAGCGTTTTGGCATAGTAGTCGGTATCGAATCGACCACATTATACCAACAACAATTTGTTTATGCATACTATATAACACGAGTTAACGTCACCTTTCATATAATAATCATTACCTAGCAACTCTTATTTTACCGCGTTGCGATTTCACACGACTACGACAGTAAAACATTGATTTACGCCACGAATAAAGTCATACAAATTAATTGTTTAACGTTCTTGAACGATTACTCGGCTTTCCTGTGCGTCTTCAGTCTCTATCGTCACGAGCGAAGGTAATTCCGCTTTGGTAGCTAAGTGCAAAGCGCGAAACCATCTGAAAATTTTACAACCGTTATGAAACGTTAAAAAGTTCGAAAAAAACAGCCAAAAAAGCACACGGCGAGATAAAAAATAAAAAACAGAAGTGTCGTGACTTTCAGAGGTCAATTTACACTTTTAGATTATTGAATGTCTTTCGAAAGAACTTCACCCCTATTTTCAAAAATAGATTCCCAACGATCAACAAGCGTAAAATCATCTCCGAAAGCCGTAACCGTTACATTTTTTATATCCTGTACTAAGCAGTCGAAACGTATAAAAAGAATAATACTGTACTTGTATTTGTCTTCGTTGGATGAAGCTTGTAAATAATAACTTTTTCTAGAATGATGCATTTTTAGGGCTTTAGGTCTGTCTTTTAAAGTTAAAGGATCCTCTTCGGATAACTTGGTAGCTTCCGTAACAACGAAACCCGGCATAGGAGTAGCCGTCAATGCCATACTTTCAGACTCCGATTTAAATGTGTATAAAACGAAATCAGCGTGCAACGCGAACCATCGTCGTATCCAAGGCTTACTCGGTTGAGTCTTTAACATAAGATATCCTGATATAACGGAAGGTGCATTCGCCAAAACTTGTAATAAACTTGGCACTGGCCCGGACGGAGAAATCGAAGAAGGTGACTTAACGAGCGGTTGCGTTAAAGCTGTATGACACAGGCGACAAACTCTCATGTTTTTATTATCTTCGAACAGTAACTTTTGATTCGAACATTTACCGCAAACAACCTGCAATATGAAACGATGACGTTAATACGAAACAAACAATTTCCATTTGTACAGTTATGTTACATAATGATATTCGCTATTGGAAAAATACTCACTATTCCGCAAGCTCTACAGTTATGCTTTCTTTTCATTACGGAAAAAATAACTTCGCATATCATACATCTAGATACGTCGTCAGTTTTGATGACAAGCGTTTTAACGTTTCCAGTTTTCAAACTCGCCTTCCTTTTCATCGTTTCTTGCATCGTATCGAAGAGGGCATCGAGCCATGCTGCTTTCTCTTCAGCGGCGTGCGTGTACAATTCAACGCTTTTATCCTTGTCTCTTATATAAAAAGTATTTGCCGTTTCTAAATTGTCGCCCTCGATTACTTGCAAATTTTCAATCAGGAATTTAGCTCGCAGCCGATACAATGGTCCGGGTATCAATCTTATTGAACAAAGTAACAACAAATCGCTAAACTGGAAATCAGAAATATAAAAAAAAGAAAAAAAGGGAAAAAGAGGGGAAAAAAAAAGAAATTTTAATGATTAAAGTCGAATGAAAATGGTACCGGCGTTGGAACTAACTAATCGTATCATCGGTTAATATTACTGCGTACAAACGTTGGCGTACATAACGTAATCGCATACGTTACATACGTTTAAGAAACGAATACACGAGACTCGGACAAAAGAAATGTGCACAACGGGATTTAGTTCGAGTACACGTACCAGAAATAACTGTCTTTCCTGATGATCACCGCTTCTTGCTGAAATTTTTACAATTCGGCCTTCTTTCACGAGTTCTCTCGTAGCACTGACTAGATCTGTCGTATCGTATATGCTTTCTTGTATTTCAAGAAGCTTTTTGAACTTGTCGATCTTCTTCATTGCTTCGTTCGTGTGATTAGCAGCAACAGATACTAATTCCAATGCCTCTACGAGAAAGAAAGCCATGTCTGTTCGTTTCATTCTACGATTATAATCATCGCCAACTACGGACGTCTATTTAAACGTGCCCCGTTTAATAGACGTTTAAATAGAATCCGATCTTCGCTAGATGCGCATTACGGAAGTAATTCAGTGAATCGAATGGAATCAAATCAAACTCGAAAGATCCTTACTTTTCGTGTCCTCGTAATCAGCATTTTCTTCCGTGAGGTTTCTCAAGTAATCTTTTAGGAGAAGCTCGTACCTCGGCAATCTTTGTATAGGGCTTAGCATATGATGAGCCAACGATAATTTAGCACATTCGTCCAGTTTTTGAATATCATTGATAATTGCGGCGAATCTAGCGACTTTGGTTTGAAGCGTATGTATCAAGTTCATGGCATAATCAAAGTTTTTCACATATTCCGTGTACATTTTGAGAAACGGTGCAAAATTTTTCATTATATCTCCGATTCTAGGATCCGATTTCCAATTCTGCATTCTCTCCTCGAGTTGCGGCAACAAAAAATCATTATGAAATTTATAAATCGATTTAATGTTAGAGAACATATGTTGCACAGTTTCTGGAGGAAACATTGGATGCGCTCTATTCTCTTGATCAACTTTGAATTGAAATACTTGATCGATCAATCGCAAAACATTAACATAATTCTTTTCCGTAGCTAATAATTCTTCGGCAACTTGATGCGCCTTTTTCCTTTTCGAATCCAAACAACCGACACCGTTATTCGGTTTTAAGTTCACTTCCGAATCATCGGTACGATCCACGATTATTACCGAATTTGTTCCTAACGATTTTGCATCTTCCGACTTTTTCTCTTTATCATCTTCTTCTTCCTCTCCTTCATCTTTCCTTTCTTCTACTGTTGCTACTGCTATTCTTTCACCTTCTTCTTCTTCTTCTCCTTCTTCTTTTTCTTCTTCTTCTTCACTTTCTGACTCACTTACCGCGAACGTTTCTACTTCGTATTGATTGGAATTTCTTTCCGTGGCCAAATACCTATGTAATACAACAGTAATCAATACTTTCATTCAATACACTGTAATATATCGACCTACCTACTGCTTCTATATTCTAATACACCGTGCGATACTCGAACAAACGGTACTTCCGACGAATTTTCAATATTTTCTTCTATACCAACATGATTCGTCGAACTTCCAGCTGACATGACGAATGGTCGAAACCGTGAGAAACCTCCGAAGGAGGCAATTTTGCGAAAAGAATGCACATTGCAACTTTCCAACTTTCCATTGTCTACTATCATATCAGAATGATTAGAAGGAATATTTATGTCGGTTGTTTCCCGTTGCTCTGTAAATTTATCTAGATCGGACTCTTTATCTTTTACATCGGTCTCCAATTCGGTATAAAAGGTACTGTTCGACGTTTGAGTTTTGGAAGCAAACATTTTAAACCTTTTACCAAGATCGGTTCTATCGTTAGACTTTAAAAATGGTTTCGTTATCCAAAACGAGATATCTATCGATTGATCTTGCTGCATCCTAAATCAAAATTTATCAATAGATTACATGTCAGATCATAATTGTTATTGTTTTTTTTTTTCTATTTTGATAGAAAACAAAGTTTGATATTTTGGTTTATTAAAAATGATAATAAAACTATCTTCATGTCGAATTAATTACCTGTTTGCAACGTAATTACTTTATCTGATAAGTACATTGTTCACGTTGTTAACCAACATCGATTTCAATCAACGGCAAACGAAAACGTACAAACATCGAGGATTGTATATCCACTGTACGTACATACGTGATCACATCGCTTCACGTTCGTACGTGATAACAAACTAAATTGCTACAAGAATAAAATTTATTACAACTTTAAGATTCAAATTGACTTTTATCTGTTTACGATTTATAGTGAATACTAACACAGTATAGATATCTCTGATATACTTACAATTAATCACACATTGAATTAACGATATAAACTCCACCTATATTTATGTATATATATATATATATATTTATTTATTTATGAACATGTACGTAAGTCACACATTGTCATCAAATTTATACCTTTGCGTATTGCATATATTTATGTATTTATATAGCCACATTTCCTATACTTACACATGCATATCAAAGCAATTTAACCAGCTCATCGTTCTCATTTATTAAGTTTTCTGAGTGATTTTTCAGAAAACGAACATGACTGTACACATAAGCAACCATCGTTTCATTGATACATATTAATCAACGGTGAATTCAGATAGGTTAAAGCTAAGTTAAAGTTAACCAATAATAATCGTGCTTTAGCAAACACAAGAGTATCGTTCCAAAACGCGTCGTCGATGATTCGAATGAAAGTACTTAGTACTTATATACCGACCGTCTTCTAGTAACGTTTAGGGATAATACCAATATTTGGTCGGAGACCAAAACAAAAAAGGAATAAGAAAAAAGACCTTGGAAGATATCGAGATCGCAGAAATTAAAATAAGTATAAACAGAAAACTATTTAAAATTTGTGACTGTTAAAACTGTATGTTTAAACGTACAACGATACACGGCAAAAATCTCGAACAGAAGAAGGTTATAATTTATATCCGTCTCTTCATTTTACGATGTAGCTATGAAGAAAAAGTTTCTGCGTATCCAAAATAGATTATCTACCGTATATAACGGAGCATCGATCCGGCGCGATATTTTCACGTCATTATAGGTAATTCAACGAATATAGATTTTATATTATTTGATAGTTACCACTTGTCAAGAGGTTTCGCGGGTATTCGAGTTTATGGGTAATATTTCCCAAGATTCTTTGGTATCGAATCGCGAGGCTGCGCGAAACATTGAAAATTGAATTTACTGTACGAGAAAGAAAGATAAAGAAAAGCAAGAAAAGAAACAAAAAACATTCAAATTTTATTCAATTTCATTGAATCATGCAGTATCACGAATAAATTCGATTAACATATTACACCTACACCCAATTAATGTCTATTAGCATCGGTAAAGAAAATGGCTAGTTTCTCGTGCTGTATATACGCTCGTTTAATTTTATACAGCAACTATCATTCGTTAGTTTCGCGGTTTCCGACATAATAATTATCGTTCCTAAACGTTGTCGTTAGTGACTGGTGGTGCATAGTGGTGCACGATCGTCAACATCAGTATGCGTTACAAATGTTGCGAGTTTATTTTACGCGTTTCATGCTACAATTGTTATAAAGAAATTCAATATACATGATAGATCGATAAATCTTGTTAATCGTTCTTAATATCTGTTTTGCGCGTTCATCTTTTAAATCGGTTCGTCGAGAGAACAAATTTTGCCAATGCAAGTAACCTAGTGCAACCCGACGCGAACTGCGAATCTCTGATGCATCGTAAACGAATCGTCGTTGATGATTTTCATTTTAAGACCGATGCTAACCAGTGGAAACGAAATTAAGATACGAAATAATGACGTGGATCATCGACGATCATCGCGAAACGTTATTTGTTCGCAGTTCTGGATTTATAACGAAACATGTCAATACACGACGGAGAACTTTCGAATTGTCTCGTGACTCGAAGTATCGAAACCATGCCCGACGAAACACACCAGGTACATTAAAAATTACTCGAATTCTCGCGTGTACTTCCGAGTTCAATCATTTTCGCGCCTTTATTAATTCCTATAGTCCATTCTATCGTTTTACAGAGTAATCGTACGGATATACTGGAGTGCTTGTCAGTTTTGATTAATGAAAATAACACTGGAAATGGTCGATCAGAAGATTTAATGTTGGACGAACAACTATTGGATGGTACAACATTAACAGCTGTAACATTACCCGATGGAACACAAGCATTCGTTGCAAATAATTTTAACGATAATGGTCAGAGACTAATCGATCCAACAAAGGAAACGTCATTTTATCATAATGTTGTGCATGATTTTTAGCTTCAACATAATGTCATTAATAGTTAATCTAGTGTTTGTTTCAAAATTTCTATATCATCCGCTAACATTGTGTATTTCACTGTTTTTAGAAGCAGAACAAAAAGGACCGACAACGTTAGAATTACAAAGCGGAGATACTATATTATTGCGAGATATATCAGAATTTATGGAAGATAAACCATTCCGTTTCGAATTAGATCCAGCTGCACTGGTCCAAGCAGCTCATGGCACTACCATAGAAAACGTTGAGAATGCTTATCCACGAGTAGAGTTGATCGATGGAGCTGCTTACGTGGTGACAAGCCATGTCGACGTTGGTAAAGATTTGTGGGAAATAGAGAATGGCAAATTGAAGAAAAAAGAATCGAAGATTTTATTAAATAAATTGTCCGCATCAAGGATCAGACACCCTTGCCCGAGAGAGGGATGTTCAAAAGTTTACAGTACACCTCATCATTTGAAGGTAAAACTCATTTACGTTGATTACCGATAAAAACTAAATAAACAAAAAAGGAAAAGGAACATATGTATTATTCATCAAACGTACCTACATTCGCGTACTTGATAATCGTTTTTCGCGTTGGTACGAAATGTTTTCGTGCAATCGGGATTAACGCGTTTTTGTGACGATACTCGTTCAATAGGTAATACGAACGCACAATTATGATAATTCTGTTAAAAATAGTGTCGTTCTGTCAGGTACATGAACGATCTCATACCGGTCAGCGACCATACAGATGCACGCATCCCAAATGTAAGAAGAGTTTCTCGACAGGGTACAGTTTGAAAGCACATTTGCGTACGCATACAGGAGAAAAACCGTACAAATGTTCGACCGAAGCGTGCGATAAAAGTTTCAAGACTTCCGGTGATTTGTTAAAACACGTCCGCACACACACCGGAGAACGACCATTTCTTTGTCCATTCGATGGCTGCGGTCGTTCTTTTACTACCAGTAATATCAGAAAGGTAAGAGGAAAACAACAAAGTAATAGTACTGTTGCATTCATTGTTTATTATATGCACCTGTTTTTTGTTTTCTGCGTATGATAGGTTCACGTTAGAACGCATACCGGTGAACGTCCATACAAATGTACGCAACCTAAATGCGGAAAAGCCTTCGCTAGCGCGACGAATTATAAAAATCATATACGAATTCATTCAGGCGAGAAACCTTATGTCTGTTCGATTGAAAATTGTGGAAGGAGATTCACGGAATACTCTAGTCTATATAAACATCACCTTGTCGGTGTCGAATCTTGGATCATCAATGACGCGCTTCGATGGAACGTCGCGCTTTATACGTTTCATTATTATTTTTTAGGTTCACACGCAACAACGACCGTTCGAATGCAAAGTTTGCTTCAGGAGGTACAGACAAAGCAGTACTCTTGTAATGCATAAACGAACAGCTCACGCTTTAGTCGATCACGAGGACAACGTTGAGGACACGTTTTGTCAACAGTCTGTTCAAGAATCTTCTATTCGGTGTAACGATAAGCGAAAGACAAGCGTTGCAGAGGAAAGTGACGGCAGTCCGCCGTTAAAGGTGCTTGAACAAATGTCTTTTTTTACAAGTGCATGTTTTAACGTTATTATCGTTAAAAAATTCCCTCTTACTTTTCTGTATGATTCAAGATTACAGAGAAAGATGGACAGATTCGTATTTCCAAAGCGGTCGATGATGTAAATGACAATGAAACGCAGATTCTGTTGGTCGGTGATTCTTCGCAAATTGCAGCATTACATGTTGGTTAATTTCATCCTTTTTCCTTCGTTTTTCTTCATTATTCTCTTTTCTATAATTGTCTATATTTTCCTTGTAAATAATATGTTAGAATTTGATAGAATACAATACAATACGGTACGATATAATGCAAAACGATTAATATTATTAAATTTGAAAATTTTGCATGTTTCATGTTCATAGAAGATCGAGCTGAACGGTGGATTCGACGAGCCTGGGATCGATACTTCATTCGAAGAACTCAACATAAAGATCGAGGACATTGAACTTGGATGGAATTGATACGTGGTTTTAAAAACACATTGTACTCGAATCACGCTAAACGTTGAAAGACCAGTTGTTTCACGCAGGGTGCACGATTATTACATGTATTCTTTTTACCTTTTCATTTTCTATTCAGCCGGCACAGATTAATTTCAGCATCGCGAATCGAGGATAATTAAGACACACCGAATTATCAGAAATAATTAAGAAAGGATTTATTTTGCTCGTAAATACAAAGGAATCGTTCTATTAAATTGGTATTAAAAAAAGAAAAATGTATCCTGAAGAAACATTTCATAATCACTGTTCAGTAAATAAATAAGATTGTAATTTTCTATTGGTCTTTTTAAAGGTATCGCGTCAGACGAAGCGGCGATTCGTTTATTTGTTTATTTATTTATTTTCATCGTTATTTCCTCTTACATTTTCAGACTGTATTACCATGTAATAAAACTGTTCGAATTCTGACTTTATCGTTTACCGATAAATCACAGGTAAAGCAAGTGTACGTTTATTTAACGCGGTAATAAAACTAGTAGAAACAAGAAGATACATAAGAATACGTAAGTGGATAAAAAAGAAAAGGAAACATTAAAAATTTCTAACGATACACGTGTTAGACGTGCAAATGCATTTCGGGTAAATACCTATAAAAACGATTTTATGAAATTTTTCGTTTCACCGAAATCATAATCAAATAATAAAAAAATGGCATACATGTCGAATGGTTATTCGATTATACTCGTAGTAAAGGAATAGATAGATAAGATATTGGCGAGTAAATTATCAAGGAGAAACAGTTGTTCTCGACGACAGCGAATACCGAGAGGAACATCGATTGTTATTAGCATCAGTTTACTAACCAAATAACTTTATTAACGTGTCGAGCTACAAGCTTTGAAAAATTGAGAGAGGGAAAACGTGTTAGTTACCCGAGAACGTTGCATCGGATTTTGGTTGTGCGCGTGATCCGATACGCGTAACATTATTTTACTCCTTTTCATTTTTACTTTTTTTTTATTCTTTTTTTTTTTTGTTACGTTCGCTCCTTCGCGTTCGAACTTATTTCATTAATTCCAGTCCATTATATTTCCACTTTTCGTTTCTTTTACGTTGTTCTTTTTCTGATAATTGGTCATTAACCGATGGCGAAGAAGAAGATCGAATTCTATATGTAAATTTTCGTAAACACGTGTCTGGAATAATTTCCTAATTTTTCCTTTCGATTCAATTTCGTTTTTTAGCCGGTAACCTTGGCACTTAGCACTCTTACGAAATATCTCGGAACAAGGGTCGTTATGGAGTTACTTCGGAAAGTAGTACGAATACATAACTGGTCGTAGAAATGACCAGTTCACGTTTTACATTCTCCCACCAGGAAAAAAAATATTTTCAGGCGTTATTATACATACTTGGTCGTTGTTCGAACAAGTTGCGTTTGACCGAATAAAGTTAGCGAACACGGCTGTTTACGGTAAAAAGTGATTTAAAAATTTCAACGGTCATCATTCGACAAATATTAATGGCTGATCATAACGAGAGACGCGTCTTTTTCTCTCTTCCGAACAATACAAGGTAATAAGAAATTATTTTCGGTTCCTATTCGTGTAAATTGTTGATACCTAAAGGATTTTCTATACAACGTAATTGAAGTTTAATTAATTTGTAAGCGATGAAATTAGGTGAAATTCATAAGAATTTTAAACGCAAGGAAGAAGGTTCGCGAGAGTTTCTTTCAAAGCCACGAATTTTCTGTTAATTTTGATCGTTTTAATTGGAACAAAAGAAAGAAAGGAAAGAGGGAAATAAAAAAGGAAGCGAGCAACCAGGAGGATAACGTTAAATTTCACACATTTCCCTTCAACATTTGTACGAGTTGTAATTGTCCTTAGACGTTCAGCTAAATTGTACATATGTATGTGCATAGGTGATGAAGTACACGATAATGTACACTGAGGTCACATATATTATCGGTCGTTACATTATTTTTGAGAAATTCATGGCGCGCCGAAATAGAAGAGCAAAAGTGGAAATTTCAAGAACAAAGAGTTAATTGAGTACGTAAACGACGAGGGAAAGGCGAGGGATGAACAAAGATATATCGATAGACGTTTTAACGTGGCACTTCACCAGTATTAAAATGTGCGCGTATACTATCAAGATCGCAATCGTTACGCATCACGTTCGGTTTCACGTTGGCGTTCATTAAGCTACGGTAAGTATTTTTCTGTCATTCACAGAGAAAAGCCAATTAATCCGGTATCTTCGTTGTGGCCGCGATTAAGGTATTACTTGGTAAACGTAACTGGTTATTTTACTTTCGATAGCCTATTAATCCTCGGCTTTACTCGATATCTGTTTCAACGCAATCTCGACGTAGAACGGAGATAAGCCGTCGCACTCCTCTATGTATAATCGCATTAGCGACATTTTTTTACAATGGAAAACAAACTAGACACACGAACGTAAATTTCCGTAATTTCCAAGCGTAAGAAAGGAAAAAAAATAAAGAAAGATAACAATCGACTTGCCATTATTTTCTTAATATTCCGAAGGGAGAAGGATCAGCCATCATTGGCTACATAGTGGTTGGTTGGTCGATTGGTCGATCAATTAAGTAGTTACTCCGACTAAACTGAAATAATCGATTGATTTTATGAAGCGTTCGAAGATATCGTTGCCGCTGGATCATCGACTCGGGATATCTGTAAGGTGGCTGCTTATCAGACCTGTTAAGCGTCGATGCGTCGATCTATGAAGAGGTTGCTCGATAACGCCGTTTAATTATTTTTCTTCGTTTCGATCTTTGGTATATATACTGAAGAGTGTTTTTTTCACGCGTTACAGGAGCAAATGGAAAAATATAGGTAGATAAAGGAAGAGACGAAAATTAATGAGAGGGAAAGTAAACACAAGAAATAACTCGACAGAAATAGAATAGAAAATAGCATCGTCGTTAAACATATGTATAAGCGTCGAAAGAGAAGCAAGTAGATTATTAGCAAAAGAATAAGTGGACGATGCGCGACGACGAGACATCCTCTACTCCGCGCGATAAATCATGCGTACGTTTGATCGATCTCGTCCTTCGATCTTTCAACTAGCAGGATGTATTGCGTTTTACTAAGTACATATACCGAAACAAGTTACGTAAAGAGTATCGTCAAAGGGAACATTTTTGTAGCGAACTACGCGGTATCCGTGAAAATGGTAGTCACGCGGCAACAGGAACGTCCCTAAGTTTGACGAGCGTCGCTGCTCGTTAAAGTCTCTGACCAAAGTACCTTTGTTTCATATCTTTTGTTCGATCATAATCGTCTTAACGGTAACCGGTAAGAATCGAAAATTGGTCCGTGACCTTCTTTCGTTCGTCGTCATTTGCATCTTTCTCGAAAAGTGGACTCTAGCGCGACTTAACATTCATCCGTTATCCATCCGATCATTCGTTTCGTCACTTCAGTTTAGATTATTTAATTTCGTTTGTTACCATTGTTAACAGCTTCGAACGAAAGAGGAGTGGACTGAAAGAGAAAGAAAGAACGAAAAAAAAAAGAACAGGTAAGGTAAATTTAAAAATCGGTTCGAACGTACTGTTATACGTATGCGCGTGGTATAATTTTCAAAGAATCAATCACCGTTTCGCGTAATTCGACTATCTTCTTCTAGGGTATTTGGCGGTAATCCCTTTCGAAAGAGAAAAAACGACGATTTCGTTAAACTTTTAACAGAGAAACAAATAACGAATCGTAAAATCGCGAACGTTGTCGAGAAAGAGATAGAGGAAGAAGAGTAAACGGAGAAGGACAAGAGGAAGAAGAAGAAGAAGAAGAAGCAGAAGGTGATTTTCGAAGGTCGCGAGAAATCGAAGCCTAAAGAGTTATCACACGATAATATCGTAGTCTACTCGACCGTTGGTAATCTGGTTTTAGTGTCGTAGCAGCGAGAGAATAGCGGCGACGAGCCGCAAAGTAACCAATTTTGTCGTCAACAATTAAATAAATCGGTAACCAGCAACCAGTGCCAGTGATCAACCGTGATCGACGAATCGAGGAAATCGGTAATATCGCGATTCGAAAAGTGGCCCGCTACGTTAAAAGCTACGAAGGAAGGTTGCGAACCGATGAAATTTGCCGAAAATTTGATGACAACTCGGATCCTGATCACAGATAGAACAGCCACGAAAGGGAACAAAAGAGAATGTCGAAGAAGCAATGGATGGTTCTGTTGATGCTCTTTCTCACTTATTTGTTATTAGGTGCATCCATTTTTTACCATATCGAGAGCCGTCTAGAGATCGAACGGATGGAAAGAGCGAAGCAAGAACGCATCGAGATTAATGGTGAGCAGATCGTCCGTATATTTCCCACGCGTACCACGTATTTTTGCTAAATTTCCGCTCTCTGCTCTTCCTCTTTTTCCCTTTTTCTATTCTTCTACTCGTCTCTCTTGCTTCTGCTCCCGTTCATTTCATTTCGATCCATTCACTAATCGTCCGCGGTAAACGGTTAACAGCGAGTAGGGTTCGTTGATCGCGCGATACAGAAAATTGTCCGAAACAGTTACGTCCACGTACTGACACGACGATAGGAGATCGATATAAGATTGTATCGTATTTTCTATCGATCATTTTCATGGATGCGACGGGACTTTGGAAATTATCGCTGACGTCACAGAATAAACGGCGAAACGAAGATTTGTCTGTAATCGATGATCGAAAAACTCTAACGTAAACGATACCTAGCATGTGTACCGCGATTACTCGTAACTTAACTCACATTTCGTCGTATCGGCCAGCCGCCATACGATCCACGATCACAATTCGGATAACATTAATTTTGTACGAAACATATTATCCGAAATATCCATACTGTTCGTTTTTTCGTTGGCGCGCAGTAGATCGTTGAGAATATTTTATCGAATCGATGGGTACGCGTATACTACAATGTTTACGTCTAAAATAATGATCGATAAACGATCGCGCGGTATAAATTTGGACAACATTGGAAGTAAACGATCGATTTTCATGGATCGCGCGATACCGACCACGGCCAACCGTGTACACGGCTAACCATTTCTGCCCGATGAGCGAGCATAAATAAAATATTGCTAATTTGGAACGAACGGACATAGCGTAAACGCGATATATACCGAACGATAAGATAATACACATTTTCGAGAGCAGATACACGCGTTTAAAGTTTGAACGAGGTGCATCGTACAAATGATACATGGATGATATTTATTTATAAGTATATGTACATGTAGAACTACCAATCGAAGTTTTAGTTCATCAGGATTCTCAAGGAAATTGCATTTTCAGCTTTGCTGCATGAACATTATGTGCCGAACCGTAGGCACAATTACGACGAAATTCTCGGAAAATTGACACAATATTGCGGCAAATCGGTTTACAACTACACCGAAGGTGAAACCGATCCTCTTAAATGGGATTTTTACAATAGCTTTTATTTCGCTTACACCGTTGTCAGCACAATTGGTACGTATGACATACGCTCTACGCGCATTCGTTGCGCACAAACGTAGACGGTTTAATTTGAACAATTTTTTGAACAATTAATAAAAATTTCTTTGATCGAATCACCTGATACAGGTTATGGAAACTTGGCTCCGACGAACATGCTTTGCCGTATTCTGATGATATTTTACGGTCTAATTGGCATACCTATGAATGGAATTTTATTAACGCAATTGGGAGAATTTTTTGGCCGCGTATTCGTGAAGGCGCACGAAAAATACAAATCTTACAAACATGGACGCAACGATTATTTTCCCAAAAAATTGACAACCTTTAAAACGCGTAAAGTGGGATTAGCTGCTCAAATATTCGTACATTTGATGCCTGGATTCGTTATGTTCATCTTTTTCCCGGCATTTCTATTCTCTCATTACGAAGGTTGGAGTTACGACGAAGCAGTCTATTACGCTTTCGTCACGCTGACAACCATCGGTTTCGGAGATTACGTAGCAGGTCAGAAAGCGTTCACTCGCATCTTTCTCGGCGATTTCTTCCGAACATCGTTGCTCGTGCTTACGAACGTATTTTCTTCGAGAATCCGAACAAATTCTAATATTCTAGCCGGTTTGTCCTTTCGAAGCTTCGTAATTCCGATAGTATCGGTAAATTACACACAGATTTTTTAGCGATCGCACGCGTCAAAATTCTACTTTACGAGATGTTTCTCTCGGTCGATTATACATAGAATTATACGAGCCAAGTAGCGTCGGACTAGAAAATAAAAAAAGTTTTGTCACGCGTTTACACATGGTCGATCGCGTAATTGCAAATTACAGGACAGGATAACAGCAAAGGAAACGGAATTTTTTTTATTCTCTATAAAGCCTTCTTGATCTGTTGGATCTCTTTCGGATTAGGATACACCGTTATGATCATGACATTTATCGCGCGAGGGATGCGTAGTAAAAAAATCACTAGGATCGAACATAAATTGGCAATAAACTTGAAGCATACGCAAAGCAAAATTTGGAACGAATTAAACAAGGAAATGAATTATTTGCGTCGCGTGTTTAACGAACTTCAATTGTCGAAAGTGAAGGTAAAGGAAACAGCGTTATTATTCTCTCTTCGTAGAGGAGTAAAGTATCGTTTCTTTTTAGAGAGTGTACGTCGACGAATGCGAATACGAAGTTCCGTTGTCAAAATTTCCACGAAGCAACAGTTTCCCGGATCTTCGAAATTTGTTGTACGGCGAAAAAGAGGACGACGGAATCTGTTACAAACCACGACGACGCGCCAACAGCGAAGTAGTACCGACGGTAAGGAGGGAGAATTCTTTCGAACTAGTTCACGATTCGACGTCTACGTTAACAAAGAAACGCTCGTTTACGTTACAGGAAGATCAAATAACTCGCGTCGTTTCTGAAACGGATCTTCAAAGGATCGACAAAACGGCAACGTTCGCGACTCACGCGATGATCCAACCAGCCGAATTGCTCGCGAGATTGGTGAACATCCTCGGTTACATACCACCTGCCACGGAAGATACAACCGATACTTACGAGAAAGAATTGCCGACGGAAAAGGAGCCGATGAACGCGTTCAACTCTACCGGTCACGGTGCATGGACGATCGGACACGAGAAAATTCCTCGATTTTTCAAGCCTCGTTCGAGAACAGCCAGCGAAATTAGACTCCGCGAGACGAGGTATCTCTCGGATCGAAACGTCGAAAGGACTTGGTCGGGACCAACGGCAGCCAGAAAAATGCAACAATTGATTAAAGAGCAAACGACCAACGAATCGTCCAACAAAGATCGCGGCTTTATAGAAGGCAAGCTCTCGAAATTTCGTAGCTTCGCGTTAGCGAAATCCGTCCCGAAAGCGCTCATCCCGTCCGGTTCTTATAAGAATTGGTTTTCTTCGAGTTTCGAGAAAAAACATTCGGAATCGGGATTAACGAGCGGAAACGTCGATAAACGGCGAGACTCGAGGAGTTCGGTCGTTTCCAATTCTACCAGACACTATTACACTCATACCGGTGCCGCTAATACCGTTCAAACGGAAAATAGTAATTTGCTCGAAGAAACCAGCGTAGCAGATTTTCTAAGAGCCCTGACTATTCTTCACGCGAGCGTCGCCAATACCGATAGTTGGACCGGCACCGTAAACGCCACCGCTATCGATATCACCGACGACGATCGTACTCGCCGAAATCAACCTCGTCGGAAAATGGGTACCGCTTCTTTGACGCCTCCGAAACTTCCGAGTCTTTTCACGTTATTTTCGCCTATTCAATCATCGAGTACGCGTCACGATCAAGAATCAAGCGTAAACGATAATATAACGAACTCGAGAAGAAGCAGTTCCGCGTTCATCGCGCCCACGGTAACCAAATCGAGAAGATTTTCTTTGCGACCTGTCACGACACCCATCAGTCCGCCGACACCTCCGAATAACGGTTCGCCATCCTTATCGGTGAGTATCGTGTATTTAAAGCGAGGTTATTACGTACAGTTTTTTCTTTTTTTCGAAATACGCATGTTCGTTTACCATACTTATTCGTTATCGTACACGCACAGAGGCCGCAACGAACAGCGAACGAAAACGGAGCAACGTTTTCCTTCGAATCGTCCAAGAAACCTCTTATTCCGATGGAACAAGCGCCAGGTCTGTCATCGCCGATGAAATCATCCTTGGCCAGTCGTCGTTTCTCCTTGCGACCAACTACTACGAATCATGGAATCTCAACGGGGAACGCTGTCGTCGGTAGTGCAACCAACACCAAAGTTTTACCTCGTTGGAAGGCTGGAATGTTGCAACGACAAATCGGACAAATGAATCTTCGACGTGCCAGAGCTTTCAGTCTTAGCGATGTTCAGCCGGACGATCCTAGGGGAAAAATCGAATCTTCCGCTTCGTCTTTCAATATGTATAAAAGAAATATTCGCGACGCGACCCGAAAGAATATCTCTTCCCACGAAACATCGAACACTGGAGAAAACGTTTCGAGATTCGCCGAAATCCCGAATCAACTTTCGTCTTCGATAAGTCGTCCGGATAAACAAAATTCATTTTTACGAGAAACAAATCGACTCGACGATAAGAAATTTCGAATTATCGATCCGTATCCGCGACCGACCTCGTTCAAAATTTTAGACGATAAGATCGATCGTTTCAACGAACCTACATCTTTTTCTTCCTCTTCGTCGCAGCACGATGATAGTATTTCTGTCGTGGAATCCGGTCGAAAGCAGGTCGAAAATACTATGTCGTTGTTTGGACGTGTTCCCGACGCAACGGAAGCAACGCTGGTAGAATTAAAAGTTCAGAATCCCGATTCTACCGATAGCGGTCAGCGTTCCTTTTCCAAAAGCACGGCTAACGATGATTCCATGGACAATTCGACCGATCTTACCGGACTCACGATCGAAAAACATCGAACGAATTCGCGCGCGACCGATTCCTGATGACGACTCGTGCGTGATACGAACAATCACTTTCGCAAGTTTCGATCGAACGATGAACCTCTCATACGCGTCGCAATACTTTCGTACAGTCGTGTTAAACGTTTCAACAAAAACATTGCCGGAATCAAATTCGGTAGAGCGTGTATTCGTAAATTCGTGTCAAGTCGAAAAGAAAAGTTTAACTTCACGAGATTCGAATATCGCGTGCAAAAAGCAAACTTTCGTTCTACTTGCCAAATTACCGACTACTCTTGTAATCGTACACGGGTCGACGGACGATCGAGTAGTAATTATTTCACGATTCGAAGGAATCGAATCTCGTTAGAATATAACGATATAGTCGATTCCCGAAAAAGGGAAAAGTAGTAATAGTTTACGTAACGCGAGAAATCGGAACACTAACAATCGTTATTGTTCTTCGACATCGTACGGCGTACGCTATACGCGTCGGTTTAGCGATATAGTCCGTTAAAAATGATCGTCGATACGCTCAAGTAGTTAAAAAAAAAAAAAAAAAAAAAAAAAAAAAAAAAAAAC